TACTGTGGGCATTGTGGGAATAAACCAGCAGAACAAAGGTGTGTATGCATCTCTCTCAAATAAAAAACAAGTTAGCATCTGACAGCCAGATGAAGTGACCCAAAATAGGTCAAGCTTTAGGAACACTTAAAACATACAGGAATAATTATACCTACATGTATACAACTATAAGCAAAATCGACGTTTGAAAAATGTGAACAAATGAGGCAGGAATCATGACACGGCAATTTAAGTCATCTATTGAGATGTCTCTACACCAAATCAAGTTCCAGCTACCACTCTTCCAATCTAGCTTCCTGCTATCCCATCTGGCAGGCAGCAGATGATGGCTCTGTCACTGCCACCCACATGGGAGACTGACTTTCAGACTGCTGGACTAATCCAGGCTAAAACAGGCATTTGGGTGGAGAACCAGCAGATGAAAGATCTCTCCCCCTCTCTCTGTGACTCTGCTTTCCAAATAAATAAACCTTTAAAAAAAAAAAGACACAAAAGCAAACTACTGGAATGGGAAAGAATATTAGCAAGCCATTTATCTGATTAGGAATTAATTTTAAAATATATATGTAGGGCACTCCTACAATGCAAAAGCAAAAAAAAAAAAAAAAAATCAACTTGATCAAAAATAGCCAAAGCTTCTCCAGAACAGATACTTCTCCAAAGACATGCAAAGGGGCAACAGATAATGGCAAGGTGCTTAGCATGCAAACCCCCAGGAGCCAGCACCTCCCACCTGTCAGGAAGGCCCAGAGACTGCAAGGACTGAGGCGGGTTTGCAGAAGAATGAACCCTGCACACCGGAGCACGAGCAGCCACTAAGATAAACAGCAGAGAGGCACCTCAAAAAAACTACAACAGAACCATCATTTTGTTCCACTTTTGTGTATTTATGCAAAGGATTTGAAAGGTTTCAAAAAGATGCACGTATGGGCCCGGCACGGTGGCGCAGTGGTTAAGGTCCTCGCCTTGCACGCCCGGGATCCCATATAGGCTCCAGTTCTAATCCCAGCAGCCCCACTTCCCATCCAGCTCCCTGCCTGTGGCCCGGGAAAACAGTCGAGGACGGCCCAAAGCTTTGGGACCCTGCACCCGCATGGGAGACCCGGAAGAGGCTCCTGGCTTCGGATCGGCATAGCATCGGCTGTTGCGCTCACTTGGGGAGTGAGTCATCGGACGGAAGATCTTCCTCTCTGTCTCTCCTCTTTGTATATCTGCCTTTCCAATAAAAATAAAATAAGTCTTTAAAAAAGATGCATGTACTCCCCTGTTCAGGTAGCACTGATTTTAATAGCCAAGAAATGGAAACAATCCGCCTGCACATACAGACACAGAAATACAGGTACAGGTGTGTACATGTGATTATTCAACCATTAAAAAGGAAACTGTTCAAAAAAGAAAAGAGGAAATCCAGCCAGTTGTAACCAACATGGATGGGCCTAGAGGAGATTACGCTAAATGAAATAAGTGACACAAAGAGATACCACATGATGATGAATCCAGACTAGGCCAAGAGAAGCAGGCAACACAAAGGTGACAACTGAGGCTGAGTTCAAGAGGTCATCAACAAAGGGAACAAGGCGAGATGAACAGATTCCAGACACCTGCCGCACAGCACAGGCCTCTGGCCAGGAGCTGGTACCTGGCCTAGGAGATAAGCCTCTGCCTTTGCCTTATGGCAAAACTGAGGAGCACTGGCTCAGGAAGCGCAGCTCACTTCCAATCCGCCTTCTGCTAGTGTCCCTGCAGAGGCACACGCCAGCCCGAGGGCCATGGACCCTGCACTGACTGACAAGGGAGACCCAAATGAGTCCCTGGGCTCCTGACTTCAAACTGGTCCAGTTCCAGCCCGATGAGGTCATTTGAGGAGTGAACCAACAAGTAGAAGTTCTCTCTCCCTGTCTCTTTTCTCTGTTACTTTGCCTTTCAATTTAGAAATTAAGAAATCTAATAAAGCTAAAGCATACTGCTTTATATACCGAAAATGTACTAAGATAGATCTTCTAATGAAGGCAGCAGCACTCTGTGGTGACCGACAGATCTCTGATCCTGAGGGCGGTGATGCGCTCACAGATGGATCTTGCCCCCAAACTCAGAAACCTATATACATTTATATACATCAAATACAGCTTTTCTTAACATGTCAAAAAAAATAATAACAATAAATAAAAGTGTTAACACAAGAGCAGGGGCATAGCTACAACCAAACAGAACGGGCGTGATGCCCATCCCCTGTCTAAACATTCACTCACAGGAAAAAAAAAAACTATAGGAATAACTCTCTGTGCAATGACTTTTTAGAACAAATTAAATGTCTCCAGACAGTGAACTAGCTAATTTAGGGACAGAGGTTAAAAAATAATTAACCTCACATGTAAAGTGAAGAGCATAGCACACAGCCAAAAAAATGCAAATTCCACAACAGCGTACAGTTCTTCCCCAAAGCTCCGGATTTTCTACAGTAACAGCACAGGGGCAACTCTGTTTTCCTTCAGCTAAGACTGTGCAGACACCGGCAAACATCGCAATAACACACACACGGCAACACTGGGGCATGCCGTCAAGTACACCAAAAGGGTACATCAGAAACGCTGTATTTCTCTAAGATGAAGACGGTATCTTTTTTAAGATTTATTTATTTTTATTGGAAAGGCAGACATACAGATAGGAAGAGAGACAGAGAGGAAGATTCCGTTTGCTGATTAACTCCCCAAGCAGCTGCAAAGGCCAGAGCTGAGCCAATCTGGAGCCAGGAGCCTCTGCCGGGTCTCCCATCTGGGTGCAGGGTTCCAAGGCTTTGGGCTGTCCTTGACTGCTTTCCCAGGCCACAAGCAGGGAGCTGGATGGGAAGCGGGGCCATCGGGATTAGAACTGGAGCCTCTATGGGATCCTTGGGCATGCAAGGCAATGATTTTAGCCACTAGGCTACTGTGCTGGGCCCTTAGACTATATTTTTATTTAAGATAAAATCAAGCAAAGAAGAAGAGCTAACCAACCTCCATCTACTTCAGAAACAGATGTATGGCAGACCTACCTTACACACATACAGTTCAGAGACGCCAAGCGGAATTGTATCAACTCATAAAGGGCCACCCACAATCTACAACTGGGAAATCTCCAAAATCTCTCAGAAAACCCAGCTGTATCATTCCATCATCTACAAGAGCCATATGTTTGAAACTAAAATATAAAACATTTGCAAATAAATCCTTCATGGCCTGGAATCTATGCTTTTTTTTTTTTTAATATTTTTAAAAGTTCCTTAAGTCAAAGTTTCACTGATATCCTCTAGAAAGAGCTCTAATTGTCTTTCATTCTTCTAGTGATTTAAAAGCACCCAAGTGTTCATTTCTACATTAGATTATTGATTCCTTGCCTTTTAACATCTCCAAAACAGCTGCTTGACAAATTACCTCACCTTACTCCTCAGGGGGTCGGGTCAGCATGAGAGCCATGAATTCGAAAATGGGACCACAAACTGACGGGTGACACACGAGCTAATTGCCTCAGATGAGACACACCGCTCTAATAGACCAGGCATTCATGGCGTGACACAATTAGATGCTTACACTCTAAATATTTTATTTGTACTTTCGTGTAGAGGGCAGACCCTCCTGGCAGGTAAAGCTCTCGGGAAAATTTCTAGAGAAACCCCCAGAACACCTATTGTGAACACTTCCCACGACTTTCAGATTAAGCTTTCTTATCCCAACCTTCGAGATCTGTAAGCCCCTCAAACACTCTGAAGGGCGGCTTTTAAAATATTTACCCAAATAAAAGCCAAAGATATTTTCAAAGACTCAATAAATATGTTTCTTGGTAAATTGTTTGCTGTATTTCCCCAGACTCACTGTCAAAACAGGATGAGACACAAAGAAAAAAAACACAAACAAAACACAATCCTGTAGACTCCTATGTAAACATAAACTATTGCTTTTTCTCCCCGCCTAAAAACAACAAAATGGTGTGACTTAAAGGAGCATTTTACAAGAACGGCATTGCCAGCCGGATTACTTTTGCAAGTTAACTAGACAGAAGCAAGACTCTGAATTCAAAACGAGTCTCATAATAACACAAATCTGGTCAATTCCTAGAAAGCTCGCTTAGGTTTACACTAGAGGTGACAACATTCCATGAAACCTTTTCATCACTTCCATATATTAAATAATAATAACTAAACAAGCACCCCCCTCTTCCAACGTCACTTTTGCACTGACAACGGCCACGGCATGAATTCTCCTTTCCTTAACTGTTTCCATAACAACAAAAATGCAAGCAACCAAGAGTCCCGGTAACTGGGGGATGGCGGTACCGACTCCCCCCATCATCCGACCTGAAAGCTGGGGCACCCAGCACATCCTCGGGGCGAAGCAGCCAGCCGATTCTCCGTCGGATCTCCCCCGCCTGCCTGGAGAGGCGACGGCGTCGATCCCCTTTTGAAAGTTGGTGTCGGGAGCAGCTACAAACTTTTTTTCAGCATCCCTGCCTGGCTGCCAACTGGAGCTCTACTCACTTCCTCACCAACTTGAACCACCCCCAAACTGAGAGTAAAGCGCGAGTCAGACAGCCGCAGGAGCTGACACACTTTTCGAGAAGGGTTTGACACCGCACAAAACTTTCACTTCTCCTCTCCGACGCTCCCACCCGTGGGCTCCGGCAGCCCCCCAGCTCTCGCTTCCCCTCCAAGTCCCCTCTGAGACAGGGCAAGGACACGGACCGCAGAGCGTCCTAATGCCCCTTTCAGAAGTCCCGGAGCCCTCGTCCCCTCGACTTGCAGTGTTTCCTCTTTTACACAAAAGAACCGCGCCGGCAAAAGCCAGAGGGCTGCAATCGGCCCTTCCCGCCCAGTGCCACCCTCCACCGCACCCGCAGACCCACCGTCTCCGGCCTCCCGAGTGGCTGCACCGGCCAGGCTTCCTGCCCCCCAAAAGCCCGGCCAGACAAAGCCCAGGCGGCCGGGCCGGCACTTGCCAGCCTCGGGACCCGGGCCGGCGCGCTCTTACCCGGGCCTCATCCAGGGCGACGCCGGTGCCACCGCTCCCCCCGGCCTTGGCGGCGGGGCAGCTGGCAGCGCGGGTCTTGGAGGAGCGGGTCCGAGAAGAGATGAAATGGCTGCTGCCTCCGGTCGCCCCTGGCTCCGCTCCGGTCCCAGGCCCAGGCCCCGGCCCGGGAGACTTGGACCCGAGAAGACGCAGAGAGCTCTTGCGGGTGTTCACCATGATCCAGCCCGGGGGGACCGGGCCCGCCGCTCCCGGGAGAGCCGAGGAAGGCTGGCCCGCCGGGCCGGGCAGTCAGGGCCAGCGGGAGCCGAAGCCGGGCCGGGGTTGGGGGGAGCCGAGCCGCTCCGGACTCTGCGGAGCGCAGACCAGGACGGAGGAGAGCAGGACAGAGCAAGGGCAGTCGGCGAAAGAAGGCGGGCGGCTCGAGGCCGGCGCGATGCCGCAGGGCCGACGGCAGAGCCCCTCCGCCGCCTTCGCCCTCCTCAGCAGCGGGCACCGAGCGGAGCCGCCATTGCTGCCCCTTTCTCTCTCGTTCTCGCAGCCGAGCTCCGTGCGTCAGGGCTCCGGCGGCGCCGCAGGGCCGACGAGGCCGCTTCCGGCCGTGGCCACGGCGGGGCGCTGCGAGGACGGCCAGCCGCCGCCGCTCGGCAGCCTCTCCCTCCTCGGTCCCGGCTCAGCCAGGCCCCGCCCCTAGCGCGGCGCCGGCGCTCCGAGGCCTGCGGAGCGACGCTCTGGGGTGCGTCGGCTCTATGGTTCCCCGGCCATCCGGGCCTGGGGCTTGATGAGGGGGACTGGGGACGACCAAGAAGGGGAACGATCGGATGGCCCCAGACGGTTGGGCCTTGGTCTTTGGTCCTGAAGCTCTCAAGCCTGGGCAGCTCCGAGCCGTCCTCGTGTCCCCGCTCCAGCACCCCCAGAAGTGGCCTGGATGCAACGAGGGACGGCCGACAAAGGCACGAGTGTTGGAGGGGGACCGTGGTGAGGGCACGGTGAGCCGCGTTGGAACCCCACACCTGAGTGGCCCTTCTCAGGGCTGTAGATCAGAGCATGACAACGGGGGTCAGATGGTCCGGGTGGGGTCTGGCACTCAGGAAGCTCAGCTAGCAGAGAAAGGGAGGGGCCGAGCGCGCCGGAACCTTGAGCTTTTAAACAAAGCCAGGCCGGGTCCTTCCCCATAACCTTAGCCCGGTCCACGGCAGGGCCCCTGCGATGGGATTCCATGAGAGCCTCCTTCATCACTGCCTGCCTCACACCCCACCCCTGCGTGAGAAAGAATTAAGAATAACAAAGAGGTGAGCCCACAGATAAATACTTGTAATTTTACTTCCAAAGAAAATTGAGCTTTACTACCAATATGAAATCTTCTGCAAAGAAAGAAGATTTGTGTTCGTTCCTCAACATTCCCCAGGCAGGAGAGATGGAACGCCTGCTCTCCGGTGGGAAGAAGCGCTTCCTGTTGATTTCCCCGTGAAAAACCCAAGACTAGATTCCTGTCACAATCACCAAGTGGCATCAAAGTAGAGGGTTCCAGTCCCCTAAGCTCCAGTCGTCCACAGACTTGCATACACAACGGAACACGGGTATGGTTTTGCTTTAGAGAACAGTGTAGTGGATTCCAGAAAAGCAGACAAACCTCCTTAGCTAATTGGATTATCTGTCCTACCCTGAACACTTCCCCCTTCCTTTACAGCCACGTCTTAATGCATGTGGTTGTCTCTTAATGGAACCAAACCTGGATTTTCCGGGTCACTTAGCTGTGACATCACTGGCGTGAATAAAGTTTCCTTTCCTGCAGTGTGAGGCTGATTTAATTGATAGGCAAAGTGTCTCCAGGGCTTGTGTGATGTGCAAATCAGCATACAAAGGCTTCCTGTGCCTGCTGCTTTGTTTTATTGGCGTGCTTCTTTCTCTAGTCCCAAGTTGGGAAAGCCAGTTTATCCTTTTGGTTACTGTAACCACACCTATCTACAAATGTTTACAGTAAACCCAGCTGGTGTTAGGCATGCTGCCTGGCCAGGAAGGCATAGTTCCAGGCCTCTCAAAGCTCACAGGAACAAGGAATGGAGGAGGCACCAGTACACCACTGCAGTGTGGTAGAGAATGAAGCCGACCTCTGAGTCACGCAGGGATGTTGGAGAAAACCTCCGTGGTAATGACCCAGAGCTGCACCTTCAACCACAAAGTAAGGAGAAGCAAGCAGTAAAACAAAGACCTGGAAAAAGATAGAGAAGGAGCTAGCATTGTGGCATAGAGTCCACCACCACCTAGGGTGCTGCCGTCTCATTCACCAGGCTGATTCAGGTCCCTGCTGCCACGCTTCCAACAGAGCTTCCTGCCACAGCAACGGAAAGACAAGGAGAACACAGACCAGCTATGTAGGTCCTTGTCTGCCATGCCTTGTCTGTCCCTGGTATCTGGCTTCCATGCACCCGCATCTAGCTGCTGCAGCCTTGTGGGGAAAAGAGCAAATAAACAGGAGATCTCTGTCTCTTCCACTCCCACTTGTCTGCTTTTAAAATAAATACATGTCATCAAAAATGAATTTCCGGGGCCCAGAGTGGTAGCCTAGCAGTTTGACAAGCCAGGATTCCATATGGGCACTGGTTCTAATCCCGGCAGCCCCACTTCCCATCCAGCTCCCTGCTAGTGGCCTGGGAAAGCAGTCGAGGACGGCCAAAAGCCTTGGGACGCTGCATCCACATGGGAGACCCAGAAGCAGCTCCTGGCTCCTGGCTTTGGATTGGCTCAGCTTCAGCCATTGCATCCACTTGGGGAGTGAATCAATGGACAGAAGATCTTCCTCTCTGCCTCTCCTCTTCTGTGTGTATCTGACTTTCCAATAAAAATAAATGAATCTTTTTTAAAAATGAGTTTCCACTACTTCAGTATGAACTAGAGAAAATAGCAAAAAGCCAGTAAATATACATATTATTAAGATTTATTTAGGAGCCCAGCACAGTAGCTCAACTAGTTAGTCTAACCCGTTCAAACGCCGGGATCCTATAGGGGCACTGGTTCATGTCCCAGCTGCTCCACTTCCCTTCCAGCTCCCTGCTTGTGGCCTGGGAAAGCAGTAGTGAATAGCTCAAAGCCTTGGGACCCTGAATCCATGTGGGAGACCCAGAAGAAGCTCCTGGCTTCTGGTTTCGGATCAGGTTGGCTCATCTCTGGCTGTTGCGGCCACTTGGGGAGTAAACTAGCAGATGGAAGATCTTTGTTTCCTCAGGTATGGTAAGTATCAGGAGTGACTTAAACATTACCCCTGAAGGCATCCACCATTTGGGACTCAGTGCCATTTTAACTATCAGCTTCTCCTAGGTCTCAGCTTCCTTAAGATTCACACCATTTTGTTTTCCACAACACACAACCCAGTTCTCCAGCAGTCTGCTAAAACATCAAAACCCCGTTCCCACCAATCGGCCGTAACCTATGGCATCTGCCTGATGGCCCCACCCACTAATCCTTGCGGCCCCTCCCCACAGTGCCCACCTACCACCGCATCTACCAGTTCCTTGCGACCCAATCACAGCCCTATCCACAATCCCTCATGGCCCCTATTACCTTCCCCTAGCCATAAAGGCACACTCCTACGTGTGTGCTGCCCCCCCACACACACACCTTTTAAAAAATATTTCTTTTTTATTTTGAGGAGGAGAGACAGAGAGGAAGATCTTCCATCCATTGATTCACTTCCCAAGTGGCCACAATGACCAGAGCTGAGCCAATCTGAAGCCTCTTCCGTATTTCCCTTGCAGGTGCAGGGTCCCAAGGCTTTGGGCTATCCTCGACTGCTTTCCCAGGTCACAAGCCAGGAGCTGGACGGGGAAGCAGGGCTGCCGGGATTAGAACCAGCACCCATATGGAGTCCCAGCGCATGCACCGGGGGCCATACTGCCCCATTTATGTGCTCTCTCAGGTCTCTCTCTTCCTCACTTGGAGCCCCCTCCCATCATAACAGGAGACCTCTCCCTCTTCCTCTTTCTCTGCCTTCATTCCCTACATTATGGCCACCTCTCTCTGCTGAATAAAACCTCCTGCATGACTCACTGCATCTGGCATCTTGGGTTAATGGTGAGAATTCCTAAAGATAAGTGAAGAACCTCAGGACAAGAATACAGATTAAATAGGTTTGAGTCAAAAGTGCTGCTATGCATAAAGCCCAAGCAAAGATAAATTATGTCTGAAAAAATACACTTTCAACACAAGGCACACAAAACAACCCTCATGAATGAAAACCTTTGGAAAAAAATAACTCAAAGGAAAGCCAAGGGAAAAAATCATCTTGCAAACGGTGGGGGAGGAGGGGGGAGAGAACAAACAACAGAATGAGACCCACAGATTTACAGTAAGATGTCAAACAAAGAAAAGATGAGAAAATACTAATCAGGAACTGGTGTTGGGGCATAACAGGTTAAGCCACCATTTGCAACACACTATTCCCAATATCAGTGTGTTGGTGGGAGTCCCATGTGTTACACCTCCAATTCAGCTCCCTGCAAATCTACCTGGTAAGAAGGCAGATGAGAGCCAAAGGACTTGTGCTCCTGCTACCCCTAGGGAAGAAGAGGATGGAGCGCCTGGCTTCTGCCTGTGTCCTGGACCAGCCAGGTTTGTTATGGTCATTTGGCCCTTGCCATTCTGCCTCTCAGATCAATATATACAAAATGATATATATATGTGTATCAGTCTGTGTGTGTAAGTTATAGAAAGAGGGAGTACTCTTCCATCTACTGGCTCATTCCTCAGATGGCCACAATGGCCATGACTGGGCCAAATGGAAGCCAGGAGCTTTTTCCAGAATTCCCCCTTGAGTCCTGGACCTCAGAGTTTTCAGTCATCTGCTGCTTTCCTAGGCACACTAGCAGGGAGCTGACTGGGAAGAGGAATAGTTAGTACTAAAACCAGTGCCCCTATGGGCTGCCAGCTTTACTCACTATGCCACAACACCAATCCTGTCAAGTAGATCTTTTTAAAAATTAATAAGCAAAAATGGTCAACATTTAAAAAAAAAGCCTATAAATGTAGAAGTAGAACTTAAAAAAAGAATGAAATGAGCATTGGCCAAAGCTGTTTGAACATCCACATGTTGAGACACCCACATCTGCCACTATCACAATGTCTGAGCTCAGGTCCCAGCTCTACTTCATTCCTTTTATGATTTATTTGTTTACTTGAAAAGCAGAGTTACAGAGAGAAAGAGAGAGAGAGGAGGTGAGGAGAGAGAGAGGAGAGAGAGCAAGAAAGATCCTCCATTTACTGGTTCACTCCCCAAATGACTGCAATGGCTGGGACTGGAGCTGGGCTGAGGTCAAAGTCAGGAACCAGGTCTCACACTGCCTTCCCAGGCACATTAGCAGAATTGAAGTGGAGTAGTGGGGACTCAAAACACTGGTTATACAGGACACTGGTGATGTGGGCAATGGCTTAAACCAGCACACCACAATGCTTGCTCCCCAAGCTCCACTTTTCACCAGATTCTTGCTAACATATAGTTTGTAAGGCCACAGGTGATGATGCACATACTTGGGTCTCTGCCATCTGTGCATAAGACCTGGGTTGAATCCTATGCTCTTGGTTTCTGCCTGGCTATCCCTGAGTATTTTGGGCATTTAGGAAGTGAATTAGAGGATAGGAGGCCTCTGTCTTTGTCAGCCAAATGGCATTGAAACCACAATCCATAAAAGGAAGAAAAAACAAACAATAAATAGAACCTCATCAAAACTTAAAACTTGGGTGGCCCAGCGGCATGGCCTAGTGGCTAAAGTCCTCGCGTTGAACGTGCAGGATCCCATATCGGCACGTTCTGGTCCCAGCAGCCCTGCTTCCCATTCAGCTCCCTGCTTGTGGCCTGGGAAAGGAGTCAAGGACGGCCCAAAGCTTTGGGACCTGCACCCAAGTGGGAGACCTGGAGAAAGTTCCTGGCTTCTGGCTCCTGGCTCCGGTTCGTCACAGCACTGGCCGTTGTGGTCACTTGGGGAGTGATTCATCCAAAGGAGGATCTTCCTCTCTCTCTCCTCCTCTCTGTATATCTGACTTTGTAATTAAAAAAAAAAAAAAACAAAACAAAAACAAACTTGGGACCACTGTTGTAGTGCAGTGAGCTAAACTGCCCACGTAAAGTGGAATTCCCATGATTGAGCACCAGTCACAAACCGCTGGATGGGAATTAGAGCAGCTAGAACACAAATCAATGCCCATATGGGATACCAGAGTGGGCAAGGTAAGGATATAGTCACTGGGCCACTGGACCAGGTCCTGCAGTTTCTTTTAAGCAAACATGTATAATATTATGCTGCAATTTCAATCCTGGAATCTTATTGCATGGAAATGAAAACTTACTCCATAGAAATATTTCACACAGAAAAATAAAACAAAAAGAAACAAAGGGGGACTCCCCAGTGCTTATAAAACTGTTTCACATAATACAATGTTAATAAAAAAAAAAAAACAAAAAACAAACACACACAAAAGAAATATTTCACACAGAAAAATTATAGCCATAGTTTATTGCAGCTTAATCTGTAATAACCAAAAACTAGGGAGGGGAGGGGATGTTCCTTAAAAGTCAGTGATTAAGCTGTATCATATCCATATCATGAACTATCACAAAGGAATAAACTAGATAAAAAGTAATGAACTACAAGCAGTCATTTATTTCAGCAATTAAAATATATCCCATTGTCAGAGTGCCTGGGTTCAAATCCCACCTCTGGCTGCTGACTCTAGCTTCCCACTAATACAGACTCTGGGAGGGATCTGTGATAACTCAAGCAATTGGGTCCCTCCCACAGGAATGTCGGACTGAACACCCGGCTCCCAGCTTTGGCCCACTTGGGGCATCGGGAAGCAACTGAGCCAGTGGATGGGAGCTGTCTTTGTCTACTTTTCTCATCCTTTATCTTCTTTTCAGGAAAATGGACACTTAAAAAAAAAAAGCTAAATCCTCACCTTGCAAGTACTGGGATCCCATCTGGGTGATGGCTTGTATCTCAGCTGCTCTAATTTGCATCCAGCTCACTGCTTGTAGTCTGGGAAAGCAGGGAAGAACAGCACAAATCCTGAAAACTCTGTAGCTGCATGGGAGACCAGGAGGAAGCTCCTAGCTGTGGGCAGGTTCAGCTTTGGCCATTGCAGCCAACTGGGGAGTGAACCAGTAGATCGAAGATCTTTACTCTCATTCTCCTTGTAAATCTGCCTTGCCAATAACAACAAATAAACCTGTCTTTAAAAAAAAATTTTTTTTTATTGGAAAGTCAGATATACACAGAGGAGGAGGAGAGACAGAGAGGAAGATCTTCTGTCCGATGATTTACTCCCCAAGCAATTATAAGAGCCAGAGCTGTGCTGATCCAAACCCAGGAGCTAGGAGCCTCTTCCAGTTCTCCCATGCAGGGGCAGGGTTCCAAGGCTTTGAGCTGTCCTCTACTGCTTTCCCAGGCCACAAGCAGAGAGCTGGATGGGAAGCAGGTCCGCCAGGATTAGAACCAGCGTACATATGGGATCCTGGCACCTGCAAGGTGAAGACTTTCGCTGCTAGGTTACTGCAGCAGGCCCAAATAAACCTTTTAAAAGCAAATTTAAGAATAGGCATCCTGGCACAGTAGCCTAGCAGCTAAAGTCCTTGTCTAGCATGCACCAGGATTGCATACAGGAACTAGTTAATGTCCCAGCAGCCCTGCTTCCCATCCAGTTCCCTGCTAGTGGCCTGGGAAAGCAGTTGAGGACAGCCCAAAGCCTTGGGACCCTGCACCTTAATGGGAGACCCAGAAGCAGCTCCTGGCGCCTGTTGCAGTCATTACAAGAGTGAACCAGCGGATGGAAGATCTTCCTGTTTCTCCTCCTCTCTGTATATCTGACTTTCCAATAAAAATAAATGTTTTTTTAAGCAGCAGTAATTCTATATAATGGCAATGATAAAATCCAAAAGGAATATCAAAAACAATTACTTTGCAAAAGTTATTAACAAAAATATGCATTTATTTATTTGAAAGAGTGTTAGAAAGGGGGTGAGAGCTCTTACAACCACTGGTTTGGTTCCCACATGGCCACAACAAACACTGAGCCATGCTGAAGCCAGGAGTCAGGACACTGCCTAGGTCTCCCAGGTAGGTAACGGTCTCAGGTACTGCAGTCAACAATTGTTGCTTCCTGTTGCATCAGCAGGGAGCTAGTGGGAAGCAGGGTAGCCAGCACAACGCCCAACCCAAGAAAAGAATTCTTACAATAGCATAAATAAGAAAAAAATACTTCAGAATAAATTTAACCAAGGAACAGAAGATTTGTCCACTGAAAACTACAAAACTGCTGAAAGAAATTTTTAAAGGCTTAAAGACATTTTTGCTTATGAATAATATAAAGATGTTGATGATCAAACAGATCTACCTCTTCAATTCAATCCCTATCAAAATCCCTACGATTCTCGTCTTTTTGCAGAGAGGGGAAAATTGACCCTAAAATTCATATGGGATATTGAAGACAAAAACAATCCCGAATAGGTCCAAGTTAGAGAACTCACACATTCTCATTTCAAAACCTACAACAAAGTGACAGCCAACTAAGCAGTATGGCACATAGTTCTACAATAATAATAATAATAAAAAGAATTAAACTGGGATACAAAAATAAAAATGTATCTATGTGGCTACTCGAGTCTTGACAATCAAAGAACCCTCTTTCTTGAGCATTAGGAACCAAACAAAAACCTACCAAGTCCTCACAGAAGGGTCAAAGAATGGCGAGTTGGCCCAAAGCAATCAAAGTGAATCATGCTGTCTGGGGGCGTAGTTTTGAGAACTGAACTCACTACTGGAACACCCGTGAACAGGGTGTGGGGACTTGCAAGAAGCTAGTGCAGGCATCAGTGGCTACTAGCACCTGGACGGTAAGGTCTCCCCTGAGGTGGCCCAGCACAGACTAAGGAGAGAGGCTTAACTGGTTGGTCAAGAAAAGGCCAGCTGGTCCTTTGCCGAGTTAACCAGTTCTTGATACACAAAAGGGGAATTTGGAGCATCCCTGACTGACCTTGTCATGGATAGTAAATAAGGCAGTACCTAAAGCATGTGGGGCCCGGGGCTCCTCACGGTGAGCTTCACCGGGCTGAGGTGCAGTTCATACAGCTCAGCATCATCACAGTCCAGGAAATTCTCCAAAGACTCATTCTGGGGCTGAAGAGTTCAGAGGCTTGTGAGGAGGTCCTGGGTTTGTCGTGCCCGGATTTTGAGATCACCAGGAGTCTGAAGTCATCCAAGTGCACAGGATGGTTTATTTAAGCTCATCACATCCGAGCCTGGGTTCTTGGTTGAGAGCAGGCTGCTGGCCGGTCGGGAGCAACACCCCTTACCGGGAGTGTGGACCCAACTTCACATTTACAGGGATTTGTAGGGACAGTCAGTCCACAATAGTCTGAAAAGGGAAAATTCACATTAGCCTGCAAGGTGAGGGAAATAGCACACATTTACTTTCCCTACCTATCTCGGTTGTCTCCAGCAACTAAGGGAAGCACCCACTTAATTACTTGGAGTCACCTGTGAGATAACCAGATTTAGCTGGGCCTTGATTCATAAGAATTGGGGCCCATCAGTGCTAAAGGTCGCATAGGCGCTAAAGGTCACGTAGGCCGTTTAGCCTGCGAGCTCACACAGTTTCCTAGTAGCAATGAGCCACGAACAGGTGGCTGGGATTTTGATACTGAAGTTCTTCAGGTTCTCAGGTAGCCCTGCACCTGAGCCTTCCGCCCCGGGGAAGAGCGAAGCAGCGGCGGCCGCCATCCGCGCGTCGGGCCTCGGCCCCCGGCGGGCGGCCCGGCAGGCCCCGCCCCTGCGCGCGCTCCTCCCGGCCACGCAGGGCCCGCCCTCCCGGCCCAGCCTGAGGGAGGCGGCGGCGGCGGAGCCTGAGGAGGTGCGGGGCGCCGGGCGAGCGAGGGGGCTGCAGCGCCGCGGCGGGGGTGTCGGCGGCCCCTCGTGAGCGAACAGACGCCGAGGCCGCGGCCGAGGGTGAGTGCCCGGGGGCCGCGCCGCGCTCGGCGGGGTGAGGGGGCCGGGCGCCCGCGGGCGTTTCCCGGGCCGGGCCCTGGGCTGGGTTGCGGGGGTGGTCTCGGAACCGCGTCGCGTCGGTGTCGGGGTGCGGAGGTGTCTGCCGCCCGGGGAAGGGCGCTGGCGGTCCCAGGTCGGGGCGAGACCCCGCGGAGCTCAGGGGAGCGGCGGGTCTGGGGCCGCCGACTCCTGCTGCTTCCGCGGCGAGCTCGGGGCGCGACCCGGGGCGGGCGATGGCGGGAGCGAGTGTTTGAGGGCGGCGTGCGTCACCTGCAGCGCACTTTGGGAGGTCAGACGTTCGCTAGGTCCCTGCTGAATCCCTTCTCTGTCCTTTACCCCGTTCACGCCCTGTCCTGGAGAGTGTATATATAGTCCTGGTGACTTGTCAGTGTGGCGTCCTGGGCTGCTTCCCTGGTACGTAATTGGAGAGGACTCAGCGTGAACCTGAGTTCAAGCGAGGGCCGCGTGACGTGTGTGCGGAAGACACCTGTGTTCCTTGGTCTTGGTGGGAAAACCCCTGTGAAAGTTGCTGTTGCTGTCATTGAGCATAGAAAGTTAGCCTAGGCACAATCCGCCAAAAAAAGAACCAAAAACCAGGAGCAATACCAGCTGTGAGCAGGAAGGAGAAATATGTTAAACATGCTAATAATGACCCCCAGGCAGAATACAGAGAGGACTTGGTAGAGTTCATGCGAAAAGGAATTTGTTCTTCAGGGCCCTCCTCGTGCTTGGAATGGCGAGATGGGCAGCAATTCAGAACTGTTGAACTAGCAAAACCACTTGAGCAGGACCCTCGGCGCATGCCCCACATCAGGGACCTGGGATGAGTGAGAGACGGGGTGGGGCTTCTCCCTTTACCTGCCCCTTTACCCCCTTCCCTTTTACCCCAGATACAGGAAAGAAAAATGTGGAAGAATAGTCTTACCCTCTATCCTGTAGGTAGGTCTTGAATCTTTGTGCCCTGATTAACTTTGTAAAGATTGTTAAAAAGAAAATATATATAAATAAATAAAAAATGTATGAGACCAAAAAAATTTTTTTATAAAAGGTAAAGCACTGAAATCTACTGAAGATCCCCCACACACACTTTTTAATTTTTAATTAATGGAAGATTCTGTTTTAAGAAAAGCTATCAGCCCGGCGTGGTGGCATGGCAGCTAAAGTCCTCACCTTGAACACGCCGCAGAAATCCCATATGGGCATTGGTTCTAATTCCAGCAGCCCCACTTCCCATCCAGTTCCCTGCTTGTGGTGTGGGAAAGCAGTCGAGGATGGCCCAAACCTTGGGACCCTGCACCTGTGTGGGAGACCTGGAGGAAGTTCCTGGCTCCTGGCTTCGGCTCGGCATAGCTCCAGCCATTGTGGTCACTTAGGGAGTGTATCAGTGAACAGAAGATCTTCCTCTCTGTCTCTTTATTTGTTAAATTAAAAAAAGGGCCTTGTGCAGTGGCCTAGCAGCTAAAATCCTCACCTTGAATGCACCAGGATCTCATATGGGCATCGGATCTAATCCTAGCAGCTCCACTTTCCATCCAGCTCCCTGCTTGTGGCCTAGGAAAGCAGTCATGGATGGCCCAAAGCCTTGGGACTCTGTACCCGCAAAGGAGACCTGGAAGAGGCTCCTGGCTTCGGATTGGCTCAGCTCCAGCCATTGTGGCCTCTAGGGGAGTGAATCATTGGACGGAAGATTTCCTCTCTGTCTCTCCTCTCTGTAATCTGCCTTTTTTTTTAAAAAAAAAGATTTATTTATTTTTATTACAAAGTCAAATATACAGAGAGGAGGAGAGTTAGGTTACTCTTGTAGCCTTGGAGGCCTAATCACATTCTATAAGAAAGCTAAGAAAGAAGAACCCCATATGGAAATGTGATTCATTCATTTCTTCCATATGTTGAGTACCAGGAATAGCCTTAGCCTTAAAGAGACACTTCATTTTCTGTATAAAGATGGGATACACAGGCCTGGTGCAGTAGCCTAGCAGGCTAAGGTCCTTACCTGGGAAAGCAGTTGAGGATGGCCCAAACTCTTGGGACCCTGCACCTGTGTGGGAGACCCGGAAGAGGCTCCTGATTCCTGGTTTCATTGTGGCTGCTTGGGGAGTGAATCAGTGGATGAAAGAGCTTCTCTCTGTCTCTTATCTCTGCATATCTGACTTCCCAATAAAAATAAACAAATCTTATTGAGAAGTCAGATATACAGAGAGGAAGAGAGACAAAGAGGAAGATCTTTTATCCGGTGATTCACTCCCAAAGTGACCACAACTGCTGATGCTATGCTGATCCAAAGCTAGGAGCCAGGAGCTCTTCTGGGTCTCTTTTGTGGGTGTAGGGTCCCAAGGCTTTGGGTCATCCTCAACTGCTTTCCCAGGCCACAAGCAGGGAGCTGGATGGGAAGCCGGGCCGCCAGAATTAGAACCGGCACCCATATGGGATCCTGGGCATGCAAAGCGAGGACTTTAATTACTACGCCATCGCAATAAATACTTAAGTTTAGTAAGTTTAGTGAAATTTCATCGGGGCTTGCATTGCGGTGCAGTGAGCTAAGCAGCCTGTCATGCCTAAATCCTGTAGGGGTGCCACACATGTTTTGGCTGTTCCACTTCCAATCCAGCTCCCTGCTAATACAGTTGGGAAAGCAATGGAAGATGGCCCGGATACTTCAGAACCCTGCACCCATGTGGTAGACTCAGATGAAGCTCCTGGGTCCTGGCTTCAGCCTGGCCCAGCCTCAGCCACTGCGGCCATTTGGGTAGTGAACCAGTAGAAGGAAGATCTCTTGTTCGCTCTCCATCTCTTTCCTTAAAATAAACAGGATCTTTAAATAACAGAAAATTGAGTCTACAGGTATTTCTTACCATTCTCTTTAACAGAGATTATGATGAAGAGATGGGAACTAGTGTTCGGTTCTCAATTGCCTCCTTTAGGCCTTAAAACAGTGTTGTGTCAGAGAAGTGTTACTGTGTTACTGGTTAGGGAACTGGAACTCAGAGAGTTAAACGGCATGTACAAGGTCACCTTGTTCAGCAGAGATGCAGCCAATATTCCAGTTTAACTTAATTTAAACACAGGGATCTGGCGTTGTGGCGTAGCAGATATTGGAGTGTGGGTTCAAGGGATCCTGCCATTCACGAAGGAGACTGGGGTAAACTCATGGCTCCTGGCCCAGATGTGGCCGTTATAGACATTTTGGGAGCAAATCATTGGATTGAATATTTCTTTCAATCTTTATCTCTCTCTTGCCCACATTTCACATAAATAAATCCCTTTTTACGATTTTTTGGGGGAATTCAGGATCAAACACGTCTTCATTCCCTTCTGTCATAAAGAAAGCAACTTATCAGTAGTTCCTCACTATTCGATGATAAAAAATAATTTGCTAACCATCAGTGAAACTCCTAGTGGAATCCTTTAAGGAGGTCTGCTTGTTTTTGATTTGCCGTGCACTGTGAACGAAACAACATATAAGTCATGGTATCCTCATGGGCATCAGGTCAGGTTGGGAGAACTCATAGAAACCAGAATAAACTATCTCAGGCAAAATGATTTCAGTGCCAAAATCTGAATGCTTAGGAGAGTATTAGATGCTCAACGTTTCACCTTTATGACAAAGTGGATCTGGAGCAACTTGCGGGAGAGTTAGGGTGTGAATGCCTTGAACACTAGTTACAGTTAAGAGCGAAGGAGAAATACTGACATGTGTATGAGCCAGTGAAGATCCTGTGTAAAAGATTGTCTGGAAATTTTAATGCATTGATTTCTATTCTTTATTTAGATACAGTTGTGTGATATGTTACATATTTTGGGGGGTAGTTGTCACTGTTGCAGTCTTGTAACATTGGGTAGTCAGTCCATTGTACAATTTCTTTCCCCAAGGGAAGCAAGTCCTGCAAAATGAAAAATAAACTGACACTGCACTTGCCATGGAGCTACTAATCATAAAGAAATTTGGTCTTAATCCCCCCCCCCCAAGATTTATGTTTTTGAGAGGCAGAGTTATAGAAAAAGTAGGCAGATTTTCCATCTACTGGTCTACTTCACGAGTGGCCACAATGGGCTGGGCAAGGTGAAAGTCAGGAACCTGGAACTCCATCAAAGTCTCCCACATGAACCCCAGGGGTACAAACTCTTGGGCCATCTGTTGTTTTCCCAGGCATATTAGCAAGGAGTTAGATCAGAAGAGGAATAGCTGGGTCTCAGAGCGGCAGGCAGCAGCTTAAGCTATTATACTGCAGAGTTAACCTTTTCTGGTACTGGAACAGAAAGACCCCCCTTTCACAAGGGGTCCTGTTGCATACCTACCATGAAGGAATGCGGAAGAATTGAGAGAGGGCCTGCTGCATCTCCCCACCACTGGTTGTTTGAGTGGCAGAGTGACAGAAAGGGAGACACAGTGGACAGCTTTCTTCCACTGACTATCCAAATGCTTGCAACAGCAGGGGCCAGGCCAGGCTGAAATCAGGAGCCTGTGTGCCACCCACGTGGGTGGCGGGGACCCAAGTTCTGAGTCAGCACCTGCTGCCTTCCAAAGTGCATGCTGGCAAGAAACGGTGCTGGCAGGATGAAGGCCCAGGCATTCTGTTACGGGTTGAGTGTCAAGTAGTGATTTAAAAAAAAAAATTATTCATTTTTATTGGAAAGTCAGATCTACAGAGAGAAAGATCTTTCATCTGCTTTTCCACTCAACAAGTAGCCGCAATGGTTGGAAATGAGCTGATCTGAAGCCAGGAGCTTCTTTTGGGTCTCCCGTACAGGTGCAGGTTCCAAAGGCTTTGGGCTGACCTTGACTGCTTTTCCAGGCCACAAACAGGGAGCTGGATGGGAAGTGGAAGCTGGGATATGAACCAATGCCCATGTGGGATCTGGTGGCACATGCAAGGCAAGGACTTTAACTACTAGGCTACTGTGCTGGGCCCAAGTAGTGACTTTCTTTTAAGCATCTTTTTTTTTTTTTTTTTTTTCTGGAAAGGAAGATATACAGAGAGAAAGAGATAAAGATCTTCCATCCGCTGGCTTACTCCCCAAGTGGCCACAATGGCTGGAGCTCAGCCGACCCGAAGCAAGGAGCCAGAAGCTTCTTTCAGATCTCCCATGCAGCTGCAGGGTCCCAGGGCTTTGGGCTGTCCTCGACTGTGTTCACAAGCCACAAGCAGGGAACTGGGTGGGAAGTAGAGCAGCTGGGATAAGAACTGGAGCCCTTACGGGATTCCTGCGGATGCAATGCAATCCACTAGGCTATTATCATGCTGGTGCTTTAAGTGGTGTTTAATGTGCTGTGCCCCAGTATTCTCATGCCTCACTTTTTTTTTTTTTTTTTAGAATTTTCAATTATTTTATTTTATTTTTTAAATTTATTTATTTTTATTGCAAAGTCAGATATACAGAGAGGAGGAGAGACAGAGAGAAAGATCTTTCGTCTGATGATTCACTCCCCAAGTGACCATAACGGCTGGTGCTGTGCCAATCCAAAGCCAGGAGACTAGATCCTCTTTCAGGTTTCCCACTTGGGGTGCAGGGTCCCAATGCTTTGGGCTGTCCTCGACTGCCTTCCCAGGTCACAAGCAGGGAGCTGCATGGTAAGCAGGGCTGCCGGGATTAGAACCGGTGCTCATATGGGATCCTGGTGCGTTCAAGGTGAGGACTTTAGTTGCTAGGCCACGGTGCTGGGCCCTGGAAAGGGAAATCTACATAAAGAATGAGAGAAAAACATCTGCTAGTTTACACCCTATATGGCTGCAAATGGCCGGGCTGAACTGATCTGAAGCCAGGAGTCAGAAACTGCCTTTGGGTTTCCCATGTAGGTACAGGGTCCCACGGCTGTGGGCCGAGGGTCTACTTCTTTTCCAAGCTGGTTGTTAATTGGAGCAGCTGGGTTGTGAGCTGGTGCCCACGTGGGATCCTGGCGCTTGCAGGTGCAGCTGGGAGGATTAGCCTGTTGAGCCATTGTATAAGGAACTGTTGATTTGGAGTGTAGGCCTTACGTGTCGTAGGAACTCCCTCTCATGTACTGGCTCTATCTCACGAGCCATAGAAAGTTTAGCTGGTGCCAATGGCTGTGTCCCCTGCATCATCATTACCACGCCAAGATTGCTGGCCTTTTTCTGTCTTGAAGTGGCATCCAAGGGCCTCAGTTGTTTAGAAGAAGCAGACCAATTCATCCTTAGTGTCTACCTAAGCATGAGCCTCTCCCCTACACAGCACTCAGCATGCCCTGTTCGTTCTGATGCCAGGACACACACCCTGCTCTCTGATCCCTGCCACCTGAGGGTTGTTGCATCTGGGAGCAATGGGATCTGAAAGCCTGGGTTTCTTGGCAAAGCCAAAGACCATCAATGGGGCTTCCCTGTTCCCAAGATGCTTTCTGACCTCAGACCCCTGGCCTGCGGCTGTTGGAACTACCTAGAACCCAGTAGGTCTCTTTCCTGCTATTCTGAGACCAGTGCAGTGTCAGACAGTGGCTACATCCTGCCCAGGGCTTGTGAGGTACCTGACTTGCCAGAGGCCATCAGTGCCCTGCCACCCCAACACTCTAGCCTTAAAACCCTAGCCAACCTCAGTGATGCACATGGGTGCAGCGTTCCTAGGATCCCTGAGGCCCCCAGCCGTCTGCTGTCAGACCAGCACCGTGCTACACTGTGGCTCTGATCTGCCTCATGCCCCGGAGGCCCCACTTGCCTGCTCCCAGAGGCCCAGTGCAACCTGCCTGTGACCCCAGTGTCCAGTCACTGGCCTGCCTGTTTTTAGACTGGCTCTTCGGTGCACTGCAGATGCCAACTCCCTATTACCCATAAAGCCTCTGGCCTAGGTAGGTCCCAGGACTGTTGGTTGTCCATGACTTATTTACATAGAGTGTCTACAAACTTGGACTTGGCCTGAAGTGTAGACCCAAACTGCCTAAAGCCGTATTCGTTTTTAACAAGTACAGTCATAGTATGACGTACAGCAATCCAGTAGGAGCTGCCGGAGAGGATCAAGAGAAGTCAGTAAAACATGTGCCTTAGAGTGCCTTGGCCTTAATACGGAGAAAGTAAAGGCTGTGCTTACCTTTTACCTTTTGAAGGGGAGTTTGAGGGCTGCAGCTGGTTCGTTGGAGTGGGCAGGCTTAGGAGTGCCTGTCCCATGCTGAGTGGTTCCAACTCCAGGCCCCCTCCCTGCTTGTCTAGGCAACCGCCTCAGTTGCATGGGGCATCCTCCAGGGACCCCGACCTGTGCAGCAGTCTCAGCTATAGGTGTTCCCCCCAAGGCCGAGTCAGGAGAGGAAAGGGAGGAGGAAGAAAGGCTTTATTTTAAAGATAAAATGACATCTTTGAGATTGGTCATTTTTTTCTTAAGATTTATTTTTATTTGAAAAGCAGATTTAGAGAGACGGAAAGGCAATGATGTTCCATCCATTGGTCCATTTCTCAAATGGCCTAAGGGCCAGAGGAGCTGGACCAGGCTGAAGCCACACGTGTCTTCTGATCTCTCGTGTGGTTGCAGGGCCAAAAGAGTTGGAACGTCTTGCCCCCTTTCCAGGCGTATCAGCAGGGAGTTAGTTGGATTAGAAGTGGAAGCCGAGACTCAAACTGGTGCTCAGATGGGATGTCAGCACTGCAGGTGGAAGCTTACTCTACTATGCCACGGAACCAGCCCCATCACTGCTTCTTAAGACCTTGTTAGTTCAGTTTTAGGACCAAATAGTAACTGACACGTCAAGGAATATTGGTAGATGCATAGGAATGAATTTATTTAAAATATTAAATTTATAGTTTTTATGTTTGTTTTTTTATTCACAGTTAAGACAAGAGAATGAAAGAAGTAGATAACCTTGAAAGTATAAAGGAAGAATGGTAAGCCAATTTGTACTATAAATTCCTTTGTTAATGCTTATGCTATCATTTTCTGTATTAAATTTCTTTTGAAAAATATTTATTGGGCCCAGTGCGGTGGTCTAGCAGCTAAAATCTTCACCTTGAATGTACTGGGATCCCAGAGGGACACCAGTCCTAATCCCGGCAGCTCCATTTCCCATCCAGCTCCCTGCTTGTGGCCTGGGAAAGCAGTTGAGGATGGCCCAGAGCATTGGGACCCTGCACCCGTGTGGGAGACCTGGAAGAAGTTCCTGGCTCCTGGCTTTGGATCGGTGCAACACTGGCTGTTGCGGTCACTTGGGGAATGAATCACTGGACAGAAGATCTTCCTCTCTGTGTCTTCCTCTCTGTATATCTGAATTTCTAATTAAAATGAAATAAATCTTTAAATGAAAAACCTGGGCCCGATGTGATAACGTAGTGATTAAAATCCTTGCCGTGCATGCACTAGGCTCCCATATGGGCACTGGTTCTAATCCCAGCAGCCCTGCTTCCCATCCAGCTCCCTGCTGGTAGCTTGGGAAAGCAATCGAGGACAGCCCAAAGCCTTGGATCCCTGCACCCGTGTGGGAGACCTGGAGGAAGTTCCTGGCTCCTGGCTTTGGATTGGCTCAGCTCCAGCCATTGCTGTCACTTGGGGAGTGAATCATCGGACAAAAGATCTTCCTCTCTGTCTCTGCTCTTCTCTGTATATCTGACTTTCCAACAAAAATAAATAAATCCTAACCAAAAAGAAAACCTAATAGCAGTAAGTTTTAAAGCAAGTTTGTTAACTAAATTTTGAAGTAATTTGCTGAACTTACCAAATTTAATAAAGATTTAATTAAAAAAAATAGTTTTTTTTTTTTTTTTAACTGAAACAGAGAATGAGAGACCAATCTTCCATCCATTGGTTTCATTCCCCAGGTAGTCATAATAATAGGGAGCCTTGCAAATCCAAAACCAGAAGTCAAGAACTTCTCGGTCTCCCACATGGGTGCACGGGGCTGCATAGGAAGTGGAGCGCCAAGACACAAACTGGTATCCATTGTGATGCTCGTGCCACAGGCAAAACTTAGCTTACCGTGGCATGGTGCTGGATCCTCTATTCAAATTTTAAAACTGTGATAGATTTCTCCATGTTCACATGTTCCTTCCATTAAGAAAAAAAATTTAAGTAGTTATTCATCTTATTGACCTGTTTTATTGTCTTGCCAGGCCGACCTAGCTTTGAATCTTGTCTTATTTCTCTGGGCATTGAACAACTTACGTAAATTGTCTCTTGCATTTTAAAGATTTATTTATTTTGGTTTGTAAGTGTTACAGAGACAAGGGAAGAGAAATGCAGGGAGAGGGAACTTCCGTGTGCTAGTTCTCTCTGACAAATGCCCGTAGTGACCAGGGCCAGGCCAGGCTGAAGCCAGGAGCCAGGTGTTTGATCCAGCTGTTCCACATGGGCGGCAGGCGTGGAAGTGCTTGGGCCATCGTCTGCTGCTTTTCCCAGGCCGATGGAGGGGAGGGGGATCTGAAGTGCAGCAGCTGGACCAGCACCGCAGGAACAGCATTGAGATGGGGTACCATTGTTGCAGGTGGCAGCTCTGTCCTGTGCACCGCACCTGCCCTGGGTGTTCTTCAGTCACTAATGCATTGTCTGTCAAATGGGAGCATAACTGTTAGGAGACAGGCAGAAAAGAGACAGAGAGGAATTTACAACCATATGAGATTCATTATAAAGCTAAATAAACTTCACAGATGGTGGCTGACTGCCATGTGTAGATGCAGTGAACACGTGGCAGGGACCCCATACTTCAGCAAGCTGGGCTTTTTGTTGTTGTTACTTAATTTTTTATGACAATTACATAGGTGAAAAGGGGGCATGTCTATGTGGACCACGGATTAGGGTAAGAAGGGTCGAGGAATAGGGGAAGGTATATGAGACTGTTATTTTCAATTTTCTTTTTCTTACTGTATTTGAGGGGAGCTAGGAGAGAGAAGGGGAGGAGCTGCACTCAGCTTTCTCACCACCCGGGTACCCAGGGATGGGGGATGGCCGCCTGACGTGGGAACATGCTCCAAGGGTGCTGCTCAGGCGGTTTCAGTAGTTCTGAAGTGCTGTTCATTTTGTTGCTCCAAGGATGAGAAAATCCTTCCAAGGAGCATTGGCTGACAGTGCACCTTCGAGTCTCCATTCTCCTAGATCTCTGCTGTCACAGCTTGGCCGGGAGAGCTAATTTGTTCTGCCGTGCATGGTGCAGGATGTTCCCTGCAGGCCTCAATGATTTGTCATGTCTCCATTGTGCATCTGGGCATGCCAACCATTGCACTGTCTTCAGCGGCTGAGGAGGCTCAGTTCTGACACGTGCACTCCGCAGTCAGACCACATATCCTGCAATTTTCCCTGAGGTTGGAACTTTGAGACCATTGATCTAGTTGGGAGGTCTCCAGAAAAATCTCACCAGAGGCGACCCCAGACCTGACTCTTGTGTGTGCCGGCCAGTACAGGGTCTGGCTCAGTCCGTCACCCAGATGAGCCTAAACACACACTTGTGGTTACAGTTGTCTGGTCAGTTATGTCTCTAGCCCTATTTGATACGCAAACCAATGGGTGCTGTGGCCCAGGTCAGCCCTGCACACCACACGTTTATTCCTTACACACCAGCGGGAACAGCGGCCTGATGGGAGCAACCCCCAAACCACTCCCATCAGGCATGCCCGCTGCCTCAGTTCATGTGCATACCAACATACAGCAGACTGGTCCAGCCGGCCCCACATCCCATTTGGTTCTTGGTGTTTTTTTTTTTTTTTAAGCTTTATTTATTTTTCTTTTAAAGTCAGATCTACACAGAGAAGGAGAGACAGAGAAAGATCTTCCATCTGCTGATTCACTCCCCAAGTGGCTGCAGTGGCTGGAGCTGAGCTGATTAAGCCAGGAGCCAGGAACTTTCCTCCAGGTCTCCCATGTGGATGTAGGTCCCAAGGCTTTGGGTCATCCTGTACTGCCTTCCCAGGCCACAAGTAGGAACGGGATGGGAAGTCGAGCAGCCAGGACACTAACTGCTAGTAGCTCCTAGAGCCCATCCCATTTGCTTCTTGTACACATCAGTGGGGGCTGCAGCCTAGCCCAGCCTCTGTCCAGCCAGACCTGCCCCCAGCCGTGGTTCTCATGCTCACTGGTGGGAGCTGCAGCCCGTCAGAGGATTGCCCACAGCTTGCCTACTAGGCCCACTCCTATTCCCCATCTTGTTCTTTCTAGGTGGTACTGCAGATTTCTGGGCCTGCTCCACCCCGTTTCTTGCCATCTAATGCTGTAGCAGAGCCCGACCAGCATGCAGGAGTGTGTGCATATGGCTGCTAGGAGTAGGCTGGACTTTGTACATGTGGGGGTCTTTGATATTTCTAGAGTTGGGGAAGTTGCAAGAAAGTGGTGGACTGGGTGGATCCTGGACCAGCTTTTCACTGGCATTTCAACCTTGATTCCCAAGGGGTGAGGGGCAGGGGGTAGGTTAGACTGGCCTTTTGAAGTGCACTGTTTTAAGTGTCTGTGGTGGGGACCCGGTGTGGTAGCCTAGCAGTGGAAGTTCTCATCTTGCATGTACTGGGATCCCGTGTGGGTGCTAGTTCATGTTCTGGTGGCCCAGCTTCCCATCCAGCTCCCTGCTTGTGGCTGGGAAAGTAGTCAAGGACAGCCCTAAGCCTTAGGACCCTGCACCTTTGTGGAAGGCCAAGAAGAGGCTCCGGACTTTTGGCTTTGGATCGGCACAGCACTGACCGTTGCGCTCACTTGGGGAGTGAATCATCGGATGGAAGATCTTTTTCTTTGTCTCTCCTCCTCACTGTATATCTGACTTTGCAACAAAAATAAATAAATCTTAAACAATTTTTTTTAAAGATTAATTCATTTTTATTGTAAAGTCAGATATATATAGAGGAGGAGAGACAGAGAAGAAGATCTTCCATCCACTGATTCACTCACCAAGTGGCCGCAATGGCCAGAGCTGTGCCGATCCAAAGCCAGGAGCCAAGAACTTTCTGGGTCTCCTACATGGGTGCAGGGTCCCAATGCTCTGGGCCGTCCTGGACTGCTTTCCCAGTCACAAGCAGGGAGCTGGGTGGGAAATGGAGCTGCCGGGATTAGAACCAGCGCCCATATGGGATCCCGGTGTGTTTAAGGCAAGGACTTTTAACTGCTAGGCTATGGTGCCAGACCCAAAATAAATTAATCTTTAAAAAATAAGTAAATTTTAACTAAAACGCAGGTCTGTGGTGAGAGTCTGTATATTCTATCCCAAATTTGTGTTCTTGCTCTCTTTTTAACTATTATCTACCTGAAAGATTTCTTTGAGAATTATGTAGCAGATACACACATTATGACATATCAGGCACTCAATACACCGCAGGTGCAGAGTTTGTGCATCGAGTCCATATAGATGTTTGTTAGGCTGGACAGACCAGCTGTGACTCCACCAGGCAGGGAGGTCCAGCTGACTCTCTCCGGGCCAGGAATGTCTGGAATGCTGACCTTGCTTCTGCACCAAAGGTCAGCACCCAGCATGCCGAGTACCTGCCTGCAGGCCGTGCTGTGTGCAAACCAGGGAGCGGCTGCTTTCTCCCATCCCCCGCACCTAAGGTGGAGAGCCAGTGCTGTGTGCCTTGGACGCCCCTTCCCTCACGGGTCACTCCGCCATAGGGAAGTGGTTCCAGGCTAGCTCATGCCACAGAGCTGCGAGGCAGACTCTCCCCTCACTAATAAAACTCTGAACTAAAAGCCTCCCTCTCTCTCCCAGTTGCCTCTTAAAAAACAATTTTAAAAATTTATTATTATTTGTTGGGAAGTCAGATATACAGAGAGGAGGAGAGACAGAGAGGGAGGTGATTCACTCCCCAGGTGAGCACAGCAGTCAGAGCTGCACTGATCCGAAGCCAGGAGCTGTTCCTAGTCTCCCACGCGGGCGCAGGGTTCCAAGGCTCAGCGCCTTCCTCGACTGCCTTCCCAGGCCACGATCGGGGAGCTGGATGGGAAGCAGAGCTGCTGGGATTAGAACTGAAATTCATATGGGATCCAGGCACATGCAAGACGAGGACTTTAACTACCAGGCTATTGTGCCAGGTCCCTCCCATTCTCCTCTTAACCTAACAATATATATATTTTTAAGATTAATTAATTTATTTTTACAAAGTCAGATATATATATAGAGGAGGAGAGACAGAGAGGAAGAACTTCCGTCCAATGATTCACTCCCCAAGTGAGCGCAACGGCCGATGCTATATCGATCCAAAGCCGGGAACCAGGAACCTCTTTTGGGTCTCCCACACATGGGTGCAGGGTCCCAAGTCTTTGGGCCGTCCTGGACTGCTTTCCCAGGCCACAAGCAGGGAGCTGGATGGGAAGTGGACTTGCCGGGATTAGAACCAGTGCCCATCTGGGATCCCGGCGTGATCAAGGTGAGGACTTTAGCTGCTAGGCCACGCCGCCGGGATCATTAACCTAACAATATTTTTGTTCTCATTTATCTAAGGTGAAATACTTGGTTTTGCATTATAATTGTTCTTTATTTGCAGCCTATATAATAAAATAGACAGTTTATACTTGCAAATTTCTTAAACCAAAGAAATGTTATTTTTCATTTTTAATTTTGTTTGAAGGGTTATTTATTTGAAAGGCTAGGTTAGAGAGATCTGTTTTCCATGTGTTGGTTCACTCCCCCGCCACATGCAGCAGCTGTGGCGAGGTCGAGGCTCCGATATGGGGAGCAAGAACCCAAGGGCTTGGGCCGCATCTGCTGCCTCCTAAGTAGATTGGCAGGAAACTGGATCAGAAACAACTGCCAGGAATCGAACCAGGCACTCTGAAATGGGAAGTTGCTGTCCCAGATAGAAAGTTAACCCGAGTGGTATTATCTAAACTCTTTGGTCACTGTTTTAAATAGATATTTGATGCCAGTTATGGAGGGTATCTCAGTTTGTGGCCAATGAACATTATCTTTCATTATTTTTTTTAAAGATTTATTTAGTTTTATTAGAAAGGCAGATTTACATAGAGAGAGAAATGGAAAGATCTTCCACCTGCTGATTCACTCCTCAGGTGGCTACAATGGCCCAAGTTGAACCAAGATGAAGCCAGGAGCCAGGAGCTTCCTCTGAGTCTCTTATGCAGGTATGAGGTCCCAAGGTATCGAGCCATCCTCTACTGCTTTCCCAGGCCATAAGCAGGGAGCTTGTTAGGGAGTGGAGCAACTAGGACATGAAGCGGGACCCTATGACATCCTGGCACTTGTAAGGTCATGATTTAGTTAATTATGCCAGGCCCTCTTCTTCATAATCTTAAGAGAAATGTAAATAGGGACTGGCACAGTAGGCTAAGCTTCCACGTGGGGTGCCAGTTAATGTCTCAGCTCTTCTACTTTTGATCCAGCTCCCTGCTTATGGCCTGTGGAGCAAGTGGAGGATGGCCAAAGTGTTTGGACCCTTGCACCCAAGAGCTCCTTAGTTCAGATAGGCTCAGCTCCAACTGTTGGAACCATTTCAGGAGTTAAGCATTGGTTGGAAGATCTTTGTCTCTCCTTCTCTCTGTAACTCTGATTTTCAAGTAAAAGTAAAATACTTTTTTTTTAAAAAGGACATTATCTAATGTGAGTTTAGTCGTAGGGTTTTTTTTTTTTTTTTTAATTGGAAAGTCAGATACACAGAGAGAAGGAGAGACAGAGAGGAAGATCTTCTGACCCATGATTCACTCCCAAAGTGACTGAAATGGCTGGGGCTGAGCCAATCCGAAGCCGGGAGCCAGGAGCTTCTTCAGGGTCTCCCATTGGGGTGCAGGGTCCCAAGGCTTTGGGCTATCCTCATCTGCTTTCTCAGGCCACAGTCAGAGAGCTGGATAGGAAGTGGAGCTGCCGGGATTAGATCCGGCTGCCATATGGGACCCCGGCACATTCAAGGCCAGGATTTTAACCACTACACTATCGCGCTGGGCCCAAAAATCTTTAAAATCTAAAAAAGAAAAAAGGAATATTCCTAAACTGGAATAGCACAGGTCATTTTGAGAGAATTGATAGTGTCATTTCCTGTCTCTTTCTGGTTCTTGTTTAGGGTTTGTGAATCAGCACCTGACAATCAGCATCGCAGTAAGAATCGACAAACGGGTTTTGAGCATGTTGCTGATGGCCTTTTTGAGGAAGCTCAGAAGGTTGGAGCCAAGTGCTTGTCCTCCACAGAAAGGAACAAACAGGTAACTACCCATGTTTTCTCTCTTCCATTATTTCTCAAAATATTGATCTTTTGGAGGGTCCCTGAGGTCAGAGCTGTTTGCTTTGCAGCGTATGAATGTTGCGTCTTGCAGAAGTAGCTGTAGTTAAAAGGCCGATACCGCAGCAAGCACCAAGGCAGTAACAGTGGATTATGCTAGTAACTGAGTTTCTTGTTTGCATTCAGAAGCTAGCTTTAATTTAAAATGTCCTTAATGAAGCAACAGAACTTAATATTTCAATATTCTGTATGACTAAATGTCAGCTATACATAAACATTTCTACAATACGTAAAAGTGTCTCAAGCAAAAGTACAACTGCTGGGCCCAGAGCGATGGCTAAATCCTGACCTTGCAAGCACCAGGATCCCATAGAGGTGCTGGTATGTATCCCAGCTACTCCAGGTCCCATCCAGCTCCCTGCTTGTGGCCTGGGAAAGCAGTCAAGAATGGCCCACAGCTTTGGGGTCTTGCATCCTAATGGAAGACCCAGAAGAGGTTCCTAGATCCTGGCTTTGGATCATCGCAGCACCGGCCGTTGTGCTCATTTTGAGAGTGAATCATTGGATGGAAGATCTTTCTCTCTGTCTCTCCTCCTCTCTGTACATCTGACTTTGTAATGAAAAATAAATAAATCTTAAAAAAAAATGAGCTTGGAACTTCAAGGAAAATATCTTATAGTATTTGTTGCAAATGACTATAAATTTTATTTAACCAACTTTTAGTAAAAGAAGAATTTTGGAAATTTGCCACCGTGCACTTGACGCCTTCTTTTAACTTGAAAGAATTTCCAGATGGAGAACAATGTCATTCTAATGAATGTGATTTTTATGATAAGATATATTGACATTTGTAGGATTCATGTATGTCAGGGAACCAGTATTTTTAGATTACCAATATATGATATTATAAAATGAGATCTTAGTGAAAGAGTCAGAATGCCCCATATTTTAGTGGAACAAGTATAGAAGATCAAGGACTGGCTTCAAAATTTTTCTTCTGATTGATCCTCAACTAACTTTTCAGATAGCTTGGTAACTGTTGATGACATTCCTAGACCATCCTGAAAAAGATATTAAAATACTTTTTTCCTTAATCATATAGTTGTGTGTGTGTATTTCCCCCTTCCTGGAGTTCAGTGGTAGGGGGGGTATATATAAATCTGATTTACTCCATCCTGGCCGGGACTGAGCCAGGTCAAAGCCCAGCTCCCATGTGGGTGATGGGCTCAAACACTTGAGCCATCTTCTGCTGCCTTTTCCAGACCATTAGCAGAGAGCTGGGACATGAACTGGTGCCCCTATGGGATCCACACAGGGAGTGGTTTTACCCCCTACACCACATTGCCAGCCACACTATTTAATTTTTATATATTATTTTGTTTATGTTTAAAGTTTGTTCTTAAGAATATATATTGTGGGGCCCGGCGTGGTGGTTTAGCGGCTAAAAGTTCTCACCTTGAGGGCCTGGCGCGGTGGCGCAAGTGGTTAAGGTCCTCACCTTGCACGCCCGGGATCCCATATGGGCGCCGGTTCTATCCCGGCAGCCCCGCTTCCCTTCCAGCTCCCTACCTGTGGCCCGGGAAAGCAGTCGAGGACGGCCCAAAGCTTTGGGACCCTGCACCCACGTGGGAGATCCGAAAGAGGCTCCTGGCTTTGGATCAGCATAGCATTGGCCGTTGCGCTCACTTGGGGAGTGAATCATCGGACGGAAGATCTTCCTCTCTGTCTCTCCTCTCTGTATATCCGCCTTTCCAATAATAAAAATAAATCTTTAAAAAAAAAAGTTCTCACCTTGAACGTGCCATAATCCCATATGGGCGCCGGTTCTAATCCCAGCATTCCTGCTTGCAGTCCAGGACGGCCCAAAGCCTTGGGTTCCTACACCCTTGTGGGAGACCCAGGATAGGTTCCTGGCTCTTGGCTTCAGATTGGCGCAGCACTGGCCATTGCAGTTACTTGGGGATTGAATCTTCAGACAGAAGATCTTTCTCTCTCTCTCATCCTGTCTGTATATCTGACTTTCCAATAAAAATAAATAAATCTTAAAAAAAAGAATACATGTAGTGGGGACTGGCATGTGGTTCAACAGGCTGATTCTCCACCTTCAAGCACCTGCAGCCAGTATGGGCCCCCTTTGTGTTTAAACTGCTCCGCTTCGGATCCAGCTCCATGCTTGTAGCCTGGGAGAGCAGTAGAGAGGATGGCCCCAAACCTCAGATCCGCCTGCACACCCATGTGGGAGACCTGGAATAAGCTTCTGTTTGGATTGAATCATCTCTGGCCATTGTGGCCATTTGGGGAGTGAACCAGCAGATGGGAGATATTTCTGTGTCTCCTTCTCTCTGTAAAATCTGCCTTTGCAATAAAAATAAAATAAACATAAATCTTGTTTTTATTGGAAAGGAAGATTTTACAGAGAGCAGAGACAAAGAAGTTAATGTCTTCCATCTGCTGGTTTACTGCCCTTGTAGCCGCAACGGCCAGAGCTGAGCTGATCCACAGCCAAGAGCTTCCTCTGGATCTTCCATGCAGGTGTAGGGTCCCAAGGGTTTGCGCTGTCCTCGGCTGCTTTCCCAGGCCACAGGGACGGAGCTGGATGGTAAGTGAAGCAGCTGGGATATGAATGGGCGCTATATGGGATCCTGGTATATGCAAGGCAAGGACATTAGTCACTAGACTACCGTGTTGCCTCCCCCCACTGCCAATAAATGATGTTTTTTTAAGAATTCGTATATCCATGGAATACATTTTCATAGGACTTTTAATATAACCTGTTACTAACATGATGTGTTTTTTACTGTTTTGCAGGTAGATGTAAATATAAAGTTATGGAAAAATGGATTTACAGTCAATGATGACTTCAGAAGTTACTCTGACGGTGCAAGTCAGCAGTTTCTGAACTCCATCAAAAAAGGGTAAGCAGGCTTTGTGAATAGGATGTCCTCAGCATGTTGTTCTGTGAAAGCATCCTGTTTTAGTGTTCTTTACACAGTCCTAGAACAATCATATAGTCTACCTGGCTGACTCATCCAAACCGGACAGTAGTCCTAAGGTTGTAAAGTACAGGACGCTCCGTACGGATTCTAGACTAGCGTGGCGAGTGGAGTTGGCCTTGCTGCAGCTTCTTAGAAGAAGGATCCATCGTCTGGTCCACTCGCCGAGTGGCCACAGTGGTTGGAGCTGAGCGGATCCAAAGCCCTGAGCCAGGAGCTTCCTTGGTGTCTCCTGCATGGGTGCAGGGTCCCAGGGACTTTGAGCATCCTCTGCCCCCTTCCCAGGCTCTATCAGGGCGTTGAGTCAGAAATGGAACAGCTGAGATGTGAATTGGGACCCATATTGGATGCTGGAGCTTGTAGGCAGGATTAGTCTGTTGAGCCACAGTGCTGGACCTCCTGAAGTTCAGATTAAGGAGTAATTTCGTATTTTTCAGTATATACAAAGCTGTGCAACTATCAGGGCTATTCAATTTCAAAACGTCTTTATCAGTCCAAACAGAAACTCAGTACTAGAAGTCACCCTGCATTTCTGCTTTCCTTCAGTCCTATGTAACCACTAATCTACTTTCTATCAATTTGCCTACTCTAGAAACGGCATCCTGGAATCACACAGTTGTGATCTTTTGTCACCTTTTTTATTAGCCCAGTGTTTTCAGGGTTCCAACATCGGGTGACATCACGTTGTACAGATACGCCGTGTCTCATCGGTGGTTAGTGTTTGCATCATTTCAACATGTGTGGCTATTAGGAGTAATTCTGTGAGCATTCGTGTATGTGTCTTCCTGGTCATATGTTTAGGTTCTCCCAGGCACATATGTAAGAATAGGGGCATTGTTACTTCAGTGTCTAACTTCAGGAAGAACCTCTAGCTGTGTTCCAGAGGGGTTACACCGTCTACCCTGCCCGCTGGCATTGCCTGCAGTGCTCAGGTTCCATCCCCCACCCACAACTGTGATGACCCTAGTGGGTGAGCGGGAGGCGGGAGGCCATTGTGGCTCTAGCGTTCATTTCCCTTTTGACCAGTGATGCTAAGCGTGTTTTCCTGTGCTTATCTGAACCGTTTGTGTTCATTGAAGAAATATTCCTTAAATTCTTTGCCCATTTTTTTTTCTTTATCTGATTTAGAAGTTGGGCTATTTACCTTTTTGTTGAATTTTAAGAGTTCTTAATGTATTCTGATTACAAGTCCCTTAACCAAATGTATGTTTTGCAAATATTTTCTTCTATTCTTGGAATTCTTTTTTAACCAAAATTTAGGGAGGATTATATATGATTGTATAGAGTGAAAGCTCTAGAGGATCCTCCATCTGCCGGCCCCTACACCAAAACTTAGGATGTGTGACTAGAATTATGAGATCTTAATAAGACCTTTATTACTTTATTCGATAAGGTTTTTATGGGTGGGAGTTTGGCAAGCAGTGAAGACAGTGCTTGGGACACCTGTACCCACATGCGTGTGTCTGCTCTGCTGCTGCAGCCTCCTGGGCGGGCAGCGGGCGCTGACTCGACGGGTACTGCGTGAATCCCCCAGCGTCTGGCTCTTGCAAGCACCCGGGGAAAGGGCTGGAGTAGGAGCACACACACATTCTTACCCTTCCAAGTAAAATGAAAATAAATCTTTAAAAACCTTTTTTAAGCAATTCAGAACTGTTGAACTATCAAAACTGCTTGAGCAGGACCCTCGGAGCGTGCCTTACATGGGGGACCTGGGATGGATGGGAGGCTGGCTGGGGCTTTTCCCGTTGTTTCTCCCCTGACCCCAGATACAGGGAAAAAAATGATGATATTAGTGTAGAAAAAATGGTATTACCCACTTTGCAGTAGTCCTTGACCCTTTGTGCCCTATTCAATTAAGTAAAATTACTAAAAAACAAACTTTTTTAACTTACCAAGGGCTCAGAAAAGAACACAAGGAGTAAGTACATACTAAATGAATTTGTGTTATTCTGTTAGCCAGAAACATCAGCTATTTTATAATAACTTGTTAAATATTGGTTTTTGTTAGGACTTTCCCCATTTGGCACCAGCTTGATGGCTCAGTTAGCTAATCTTCTACCTGGCCAACACTGGCATCCCATAGGGTTTCTTGTTCCTGTCCTGGCTTCCCTGCTTCCCATCCAGCTCCTTCCTTTTTTATTTATTTATTTATTTTTATTGAAAAGTCAGATACTCAGAGAGGAGGAGAGGCAGAGAGGAAGATCTTTTGTCTGATGATTCACTCCCAAAGTGACCGCAATGGCTGGTGCTATGCCGGTCTGAAGCAAGGAGCCAGAAACTTCTTCCAGGTCTCCCACGAGGATGTAGGGTCCCAAGGCTTTGGGCTGTCCTCGACTGCCTTCCCAGGCCACAAGAAGGGAGCTGAATGGGAAGTGGAGCTGTTGGGGTTAGAACCGGCACCCATATGGGATCCTGACTTTAGCTGCAAGGCTATCACGCCAAGCCCCAACTCCTTTCTTTTGGCCTGGGAAAGCAGTTGAGGATGGCCCAAAACCTTGGGACCCAGTACCCGTGTGGGAGACCCAGAAGAAGCTCCTGGCTTCAGATCAGCTCAGCTTTGGTCATGGCAGCCACTTGCGGAGTGTGTCTCTCTCTCTGTATATCTGCCTTTCCAATCACACAGACACACACATACAGAACAACAACAATAATATTGTTTGGGGTTTTAGTATTGTTTGTTTGTGTTATTTAGCTATTCTGTTTTAAGTACCTTTAAAACAGTGTATTAGGGCCCGGCGCGGTGGCGCAAGTGGTTAAGTCCTCGCCTAGCACGCCCGGGATCCCATATGGGCGCCGGTTCTAATCCCGGCAGCCCCGCTTCCCTTCCAGCTCCCTGCCTGTGGCCCGGGAAAGCAGTTGAGGACGGCCCAAAGCTTTGGGAACCTGCACCCGTGTGGGAGACCTGGAGGAGGCTCCTGGCTTCGGATCGGCATAGCATCGGCCCGTTGCGCTCACTTGGGGAGTGAATCATCGGATGGAAGATCTTCCTCTCTGTCTCTCCTCTCTGTATATCTGCCTTTCCAATAAAAAATAATAAAAATAAATCTTTAAAACAGTGTATTAATCCAATTCATTTTTTGTACAGAATGTTTTTCAGAAAAGAACTCAGAGAAGTTATAATTTTTTTTTTTTTTTTTGCCTTCTAAGGGAATTGCCTTCAGAATTGCAGAGAGTTTTTGATAAAGAAGAAGTGGATGTTAAGGTTGAAGATAAGAAAAATGAAGTGTGCTTGTCGACGAAGCCTGTGTTCCGGCCCTTCTCAGGACAGGGCCACCGGCTGGGAAGGTGAGAAGGCTTCCCCGAGGCGCTGTGCGTCCGCAGGGCTCCCGCGGAGGCCAGTGTTGCCTTACCCATGTGGGCGATAGGAATCGCAAAGATTACTATTTCACCATTGTAAACAAGTTCTTTAGTGTTCGTTTTCGTGACTCCTAAGTCATCTTTAGTGCAAGGCATACTATATGCCAACCACACTAAACAATGATCGAGGCTTGTTTGGGTTTTATTGTCAAAAGGATCTGGCGTGTCAAGGACAAAGTTGGATGATGAACCGTTCACTCCCCTTCTCACCTACCGTCTGAACTTTGCTAGTAATTCTACAGAGAACGTATGCTAGCTGTTGAATATTTAGAGTCCATTTAAACATTAACAATGTCGGCAACATTGTCTTAGGAGATTACTCTTTGAATTTTGAGATTGAAGTTGGTTAGCTGCTGCTTATAACGCCATCCTGACTTTCTCCTACCTGGCTCCCTGGAAATATGAAATATGAAAAGAATGGAAGATCCACGTTCTGGGGCTAGTGCCACTTCATGGGAGACCTGGATGGAGTTCCTGGCTCCAGCCTGGCCCGGACCCAGCAGTGGTGGCCATTGAGTGAAATAGGGGCTAGAGAGTCTTTGTCTCTGCCCACTTCTCTCTGTCACCGTGCCTTTCATATACCATACATACATACATACACTTCAAAATACATACTTGTTGCTAATGTCAATGTAAAAATCTTTAAGCTTTTGGAGTTTTTGTCATATCTTATTATGGCTGTGACACAGTGTGCAGCAAGATCAAACATGGGATCATTTTCCTAAATTTTCATATTTAATTATAAAGATGATTAAGGGATATATTTGCACACACATATAAAACTTCTGCCATCTGTCTGAGAATAATTAACAAATACTTTTTCTTTTTTCTGTTTGTAACCCAAAGACTTTTTTTAAAAAAAAAAGATGTATCTGTTTTTATTGGAAAGTCAGATATACAGAGAGGAGGAGAGAGAGAGAGGAAGCCCTTCCATTCACTGTTTCACTCCCCACGTGGCCGCAGGCTGAAGCTGAGCTGATCCGAAACCAGGAGCCAGGAGCTTCTTCCTGGACTCCTAGCAGGTACAGGGTCCCAAGGCTTTGGGCCATCCTCGACTTTTTCCATGCCACAAGTAGGGAGCTGGATGGCAGGTGGGGCTACTGGGATTAGAAGTGTCACCTGCATGGGATCCCAGCTCATGCAAGGTGAGGACCTTAGCCACTAGGCCACCATGCCAGGCTACCAGGGAATAATTTCTATGGAGAATTTACTTGGAGTTTCTTGCAGCAATGTAACTTGTGGGCCGGAGTGGTAGCATATCAAATTAATATTCCACCTGTAGCACTGACATTCCATATAGGCACTGCTTCGAGTTCTGACTGCTCCACTTACAATCCAGCTCCTTGCTAGTAGCCTGGGAAGGCAGTGGAAGTTGGCCCAAGTCCTTGGGAACCTGCGCCCACATGGGAGACCTGGAAAGAAGCACCTGGCTCCTGGTTTCAGGCTGGCCCAGCTCTGGCTGTTGCAGCTTTTGAGGAATGAACCAGCAGATGGGAGACCTCTCTGGCTCTCCCTCTTTCTCTGTAACTCTGACTTTCAGAGTAAAGTAAGTAAATCTTTAGAAAGCAGAGAAAAATGTCACCCAGGCTACACATAAAAGTAAGCTGCTCTGTTCTGTAAAATACTACTCACATAGTATTGGTGACAGTATATGCACCTGGCTTTCTGGAAGTTGACCAATTTCTATGATTTTTTTTTTTCTTTTTTAGTGCTACACCAAAAATTGTATCTAAAACAAAGACTCTTGAAGTCAAAAATAAAAATGTTGCGTCTGCTGTCCCGCTGAACCACTTGGAACCCATCACTAATGTACAGATTTGGTTGGCCAGTGGGAAGAGGATTGTCCAGACATTTAACGTTTCTCATAGGTGAGTTTTCTCTTTTGGTGTATGTGATTTTTTTTTTCCTAATTTAATTCTTTTTTTTTTTCAGTCAACAGCATATTTGTTTAACATTTATGTGTGTGTTTATCTATTTATTTGTGATGCAGAGTTCAAGAAACAGAGAGAAAGAGAGCCTCCATCTGCTGCTTTGCTCCTTAAATGGCCTCTTGGCTGGGGCCTGCCCCTGCTAAAATGGGAAGCCAGGGGCTCCAGCACTGGGACTCTCCTGCTGCTGCTTTCCTAGGCACGTTGGCAGGAAGCTGGATCAGAACTAGAGCATCTAGCCCTGCTGCTGGCCTCGGAAACCAGTGGAGGATGACCTAAGGCCTTGGGCCCCAACACCCACATGCATTACCCAGAAGCAGCTCCTGGCTCCCGGCTTACTCAGTTGTAACCATTTTTCCACTTACTTGATGTTCTGTTTTTAATTTATTCTCTCATCATTGTAATATCTCTTTTTCTTTCTAGTTGTTTTTGTCTCTTTGTAAATTCAGTATTAAGGTCGTGGTGGAAATAACATTTTACGTAAATGTTATTTATGGGCCTGCGTTTCCTTGTCATCTTTCAGGAGTTAAATTACTTGAGCCAAAGAAGGTGAACATATTTAAGGTTTTTGCTAGGGGTTGGCATGAAAGCCCACGCTGAAGCGACCTGTTGAGTTGCCCAAGTCCCTCTGGGAAGTGCCTGGGCTCTGTTGCCAGCACCAGCCTCCTACTTCCTGTCGCTATAACCCCGGGAGGCAGGAGTGTGCCTGCACCCACAGGGGACACCCACATTGCATTCCCATCTCCTAGCCCGGTCCTCATTGTGGGTGTTTAGAAGATAAACCAGCATCCCATATGTGTGTCATTTTGACTCCCAGCTGCTCCACTTCCAATCTTGCTTCCTGCTCTTGTGCCGAGGTAGGCAACGGAGGATGGCTCAAGTACTTGAACTCCTGTACCCACATGGATACCAGGACGAAAGGGCTGCAAAGCCGGGAGCCTAGAACTTCATCTGGGTCTCCTATATGGGTACAGGGGCCTAAAGACTTGGGCCAACTTCTGCTACTTCTTGCTCGGAACTTAAGCGGCCAGGAGTTGAACCAGCCCCGTATGTAATGCCAGCATTGTAGTCACCAGCTTAACCCACTGTGCAAAAACTTGGGTTCCCTTATGTTTTTGTCTTGTTTTGTTTTGTTTTTTAAGATTGATTTTTTTTTTTTTTTTATTAGAAAGTCAGATATACAGCAAGGAGGAGAGAGAGAGAGGAAGATATTTTGTCTGGTAATTTACTCCCCAAGTGACTGCAACAGCCGGAGCTATGCCAATCTGAAGCCAGGAGCCAGGAGTTCTTCTGAGTCTCCCACACAGGTGCAGGGTCTCAAGGCTTTGGGCCGTCCTCAACTATTTCCTAGGCCACAAGCAGGAAGCTGGAAGGGAAACTGGGCTGCCAGGATTAGAACAGGTGCCCATTTGGGATCCCGGTGCGTATAAGGCGAGGACTTTAGCGACTAGGCTACTGTACCAGGCTGTATTTTTTTTTTTTAAAGATTTATGTATCTTTATTTGAAAAGTAGATTTTACAGAGAGAGGGAGAGACGCAGGGAGAACGATCTTCCATCCCCTGGTTCTCTCCCCAAATGGCTGCAAAAGCAGGAGCTGAGCCAATTCAAAACCAGGCACCAGTGATCCTTCTAGGTCCTCCCATGTGGGTACAGGGTTCAAGTACTTCAGCCATCCTCTGCTGCTTTCTCAGTCCATAACAGGGAGCTGGATCAGAAGTGGAACAGTTAAGACAAACTGGTGCCCATGTGGGGGCTGTCGGCACCTGAAAGTGTAGGATTAGAAGGATTAGACTGTTGAGCCTTCGTGCCTCTCCCCTGCCCCAGTGAAATGTGAGTTTTAATTTCTATTTATTTATTTATTTATTTAGACATCCTCTTTTTTCCTTCCCTTATGTTGGGGGAGGGAAGAGATAAGGAGAGAAGCCACACTCAGCCTCCCAACCATCCCAGGGTCCTCGATGTGGGGCATGCTCCGAGGATCCCGCTCAGGTGGCTTTGGTAGTTCAGCAGTTCTGTGTTGCTACTAATCTTGCCACTCAAATCACGATGAAATCTCTCCAGACCCCACTGCCTGACATGTGCAAGATGAAGACATTAGCTGCTAGGCTACCATGCCTGATGCCCAGCCCTGTCTTCAGCACAAACTATTGGGTATTTCCACCTAGCCTAATATTGCCCACCCCACACTTGGCCCCCACACAATCCAGATGGAGCTGAAACTAAGTCAAAGTGATTGTCAGTAACCTCCACCAGGCCCGCTTGCTGCCCTCGTTCCCGTGCTTGCCAGTATGTACAGCAGACTGGTCCAGTCTGTCCCACATCCGGTTCAGCTCTTACACTTATCAATGGGCATAGAAGCCTAGTTCGACAACCGAACCAGCTCCACTGTCCAGCCCACATGTGCTGGTGAGTGCCACTCTCTGTCTCACTATGCCTGTCCCAGTCCTGGTTCTCATGGTCACCAGTGGGAGTGGCAACTCAAGAGGAAGGTGCCCGCTGTTTCCCTAATGGGCCTACTCCCACTCTTAGATATTGCATTCTCCAGGTGGTACTGCAGTTTAGTGCGGCAGTTTCACCCCCATGCCAGCTGCTGCTGCAGCAAAACCCATGCAACCCTCACCCATGCTAGCTTATGCATGTACCAGTAGGTACAGTCCACCCAGCCTGGCATGTCCCCAATCCAGCTCACATGCAGGCCAACACGTGTTGTAGCCCTGTCCGGCCTGGTCGTCCCCCAAACCCAGCTCTCATGCTCACCAGTGGGAATAGTGGCCCAGCAGAAGGGCTCCCTCCAGCCCCTCTACCAGCTTGCTCACTCTCCCCTGGGTCTCACATGTGCTGATTGGGTGCTGTGGCCCATTCTGCCATGTATGGCCTGCCTCACCTCGGCATTTGCCAGTGTGTGGTGTGAACTGGCGTAAGCTGGTTTGCCTCAGACCTTAGCCAAAGTTAAGCCTGTGGGAGAGACAGAGAGGAAGACTCCTGTCTGATGATCCACTCCCCAAGTGACTACAATGGCCAGTGGTGCACCGACCCGAAGTCAGGAGCCAGGAACCTCTTCAAGGTCTCCCACGCACGTGCAGGGTCCCAAGGCCTTGGGACGTCCTCAGCCGCCCTCCTAGGCCACAAGCAGGGAGCTGGATGAGAAGCAGGACCGCCGGGATTAGAACTGGCGCCCACATGTGATCCTGGCGCATTCAAGGCGAGAACTTTAGCCACTAGGCCACCACGCCAGGCCCCATAGCAGCATTTTTCATGAATTTTCTGAAGATTTTTATATACTTAGATTTAAAAATGTTAATCCCATTTTTCACAACTTTGGAGCTCCCTTCCTATGACAGCAAAGAGAAAATGTCCTGGTTGTTCATGACTCCGTTCCCACTGAGCCGTCCTTGGGCAGACCCGTGCTTGCTAACAGCTTCATCTGTGAGGATTTCAGTGTGAAAGGTGAGAAGGCTTCCAGGAGCTTTCCTCGTTAATGTTGGTCCATGGTCATTGGCTGTCTGGAGACTGCCCAGTGCCTGGTGCGGTAGTCTAGTGCCTAAAGTCCTCTCCTTACATGCACCGGGATCCCATATGGACACCAGTTTGTATCCCAGCTGCTCCACTTCCCATCTAGCTCCCTGTCTGTGGCCTGGGAAAGCAGTGGAGGATGGCCAAGGGCTTGGGACCCTATAGCCTTATGGGAGACCTGGAAGAAGCTTTTGGCTTCTGGCTTCGGATCAGATCAGCTCCAGCTGTTGCGGCCACTTGGGGAGTGACCCAGCAGATTGTTCTGTCTGTCTCTGCTTCTCACTGTAAATCTGAGTTTCCAATAAAAATAAGTAAACCTTAAAAAATAAAAAGAGCCAAAGATTAATTATCATAATTAAGTTATTCTGTACATTAACATCCTGATACCTTTACAGGTTGGTAATAGCTTTAATTCATTCAGGTACCCATGAAATTATAGTAATAGTCTGTGCTGTCTTATAGGGTAAGCCACATCAAGGACTTCATCGAGAAATACCAAGGCTGTCAACGAGGTCCTCCCTTCTCCCTGGCCACGGCCCTTCCCTCCCTCCGGTTACTGGACGAGGCGCTGACGCTGGCTGAAGCTCATCTGCAGAATGCTGTTGTCATTCAGAGACTCCAGAAGACGGTTGAGCCTTTTAGAGGACTTCCGTAGCACTGGCTTCTGATAGGCCAAGTGGAACACTTGCTGTAAGTGGGCACACAAACCAAAGTGGAGAGAGAAAGGCCAGATTGCCTGGACTTTTGGTTGGAGCACCATTTGACTCTTCTGATGAGAAGATATTTAAATTGGTGCACGTCGGGAAAGTAGCATAAGACTAGAAGCTATATTGTGGTGCTTTTCCAAAGGCCACACAGAAAGAAAAAAATGTTTATTTTCAAATTCCAATTAATACACATTACATATATTAAATATCTGCATTATTTAGAGTCTTAATATGGAAAAATTTAGGAGCTGTGTTCACAGCATGTCACTTAAACATCACTCCTAAATAGCAGGGATTTGTTTAAACATTAGCTGTCTCCGAATTTTTAAATGGCAATATATGAACAAATTAAGGTAGGCTAGAAGCATAAAGGCAATTATTTTCATAATTGAGAAGACCACAAGGGCCTGTTGTTTTATAACCACACCTGTGCGTACACATCAGCATGGTCTCACTTTGCATTCTGAAATGGCGAGATACTCAGGTGCTGATATGGCATCAGTACCTCAGACGTGTTTTCACTCACAAATGCAGTTATGTAGCTTAGCCTAAGGCGGTACTAATCTGTTCGCCAGGTTTCTATACTTTCTTAAAAGCTGATGTTGAAGATTCCCCTGTAGGAACCCTACTTTGTCCCTATTCTCATTTTTTCAAAAATCAAGGTTTTTTTGTTTTTTGTTTTTTTGTGATTTGGGATTAGTTGTTCATCAACCAGCTCTCAGAATCTAATGCGTGTAAGGTCACATCACTGATTAATGAGTAGTTTTTAAAAATGTGTCTTATAAAACATGTTTTTCTATTTTGTACACATCAGCTGGCCTTGTGTTTAAATTAAATGATTATTTATTACATTCTGATGTCACCAAGGAAAACATGTTTCGTAGCTTGAGTTTTTAACTCAAACCAGTTGGATTTCAGTATTTCACTATCAGATTCCATCTCCCCTGGCCTGAAAACGAGCCTAAAGAGCTTCTATGCAAACCACCTGTGAGTCGAATTTGGAGTGAGGTGTGCATTGAGTGTGCAAGGGAGCTGGGGAGCGCGCTTCAGCAAAAACATTCGCAGGATGCAGGACAAGTGCTACTGAAGCCCAGGTGACACGCCTTTTCTTATGTGGATTTTGATATATGACATATTCAATACTAAACATTAAAACGTGACATCTATTATTTTAAACATAGCTTCCAAGAAGAAAGGATTTGAGGGATTGTATTCCATTTCTGCAATTATTTTTTCTGTTTGATGTAAAGAAGTCATAATTTGCATATCTGCTTCTACATTCAATCTATTGTGCCATTAAGACCTGACTAGATTAGTGAAAAGAAGGCAGCAGCGCCACCTCAGTGTGCTGATGAGATCATGTTGCAATTACAAACCCCCTGAGTGGTTCTTGGGGATCCCTGACCACAGTCTGAGGACCAAAACAGTGGTTCACAGTGATGCTCAGGCCTTCACAGAAGGCTTCTCAAATCCCGTTCCTCACGCTGCCTGCAGGTCTCCTGATGTCTGCGTTCTTAGTCCTGAGGGATTCTGAGGGCCGCCCTGAAAGTACCACTCACTCTTCGGGAAACCCTGCACTGAGCTGCATAGGCCGGAAACTAAATCCTGACCATTTGACCATGGGCAGCAAGATTCCAGCTCAGGGGGCTGCTGCACTGGCTCGGTTTTACCCAGCTGTCCCGCAGTTTGCTCTCGTTCTGTTCCCCTTTACCACTGCACTAGTCACGGCGTGAGCCTGGGCACCGTAGGCTGTAGCACAGTCAAGACAATGCTGGAATGCTTGAGTGAAGTTCCTCGCAGAGACTCAGGAATATGTTCATAGCTAGACGACCTGGCAGTCTGGTAGAAGAAGGCTTCCTCTCCCAGCAGCTGTCCCAGTGGTGGATGCAGGAAGGCCCTTCCCTGCCCTGTTCCCATCACCTCAGGAATGCACAGGTGCTTAACCGAATGCAAGTGTTTATTGTCAGTCATGTTTACACAGCAGTGTTCACTGCACTCCCTGGAGCCAAGCGAAAGTCATGGCATTGTGTAAAATACTGATAGGCTGGTACAAATCAGTGAACTTTGACACCTAGGAAATATGATTGTTGATGTATGTTCAGGAATCTGTAAGAAAATGTTTCGGGTAGGCCCTTTTCTGAGGCATTTTCATCTGCATAATTATAATCAGTCCAGAAGTCTTTGTTGATCTCTGTAAGGTCCCCTAGGTGATCTCAGTGAGACTGCTTTGGTACCTGAAGGAAAGCCTCCAGGCTGTGATTATTTACAGAAAACACATGGCAGGGCCTCCTGTGTGGACCCGGGAGGCCCACGCCAGGGAGAGGCTACTGTGGGCAGAGCCACGGAAGCAAAAACTGAATTCTGTTCGCTAATATGACTAAAACACAGAGGTTTTCTAAAGTAATCATATATATATATGTTTTACTTGAGAGGTTCAAAGTTGTACACATTGTGTAGAATGCTCAGAAGAGGCTGACTTTGAAAAATTATTTAGTGAGGGCAAGGAGCAGGTGTCTTAAGTGTGCAGGACAGTTTGAGCTAAGCAGTCATTTCACAATTGCCAGCAGTTTCTCCAGAGAACTTGTTAGACCTAGCACATTGAAATCTGTTTTTGTTTTTTGTTTGAATTTTACAGTTTATTGGCTAAAGTACTGAGCAGTATCCAGGTTAAAATGTAACTCTACTTGAGAGCTCTCTCAATGTGCTTGTTGTGACATCTCAGTGTGTTGATAACATGTGTTGTATGCATTTATTTCAGTGCCTTAAAAAAAAATCCTGACATCTTTAGCTAATAATCTCAGAGCTATTCTCTTAAGGGTGAAATGCTATTGATTCAAAAGATCTGTCAAATCATTTGCTCTTATTATAAAGTCATTAACATCTAGCTGCGTCTGTCACTTTGAATTGGCAAAGTCATGGGATTTGAAAATGCATCATTTATTTTGTGCCTGTGTTTTAGCCAATGGAACGTCATTTAATACTAAGAAGTGTTGGGGGGGAAAAAAGATTTTTTAATGCTAACCCTGTGGTGATATTTATTTTTTGAACTATCCATTGGGTTCTGAAATAGTCTGAACATTCTGAAGGTGAGTTTACACCAGTGTTCTTTCCGCATTTTGCTGTGAACCCTTCTGTGAGGAAGTGGCTTACTCAGTATGTTAGTTTTTGGCTTTTGGCTTATTTATGTATTTAGTTAGTTACATAGTTAATTTTTTTTTGTTTTGTTCTTTGCTTTTGTTTTAAATATTATTGGACACAAGTAATCCATATCAAAATGATAAAATAGATATGCTAAAATAATCTTTAAATAATGTCTTATGCAGTGATTCAAATGTGATCACTACAGCTTGAGCGTCCTTAATGTGAAAATCTGGAACTTTCTGAGAACCAGCATCATGCTAAGAGTAGAGGATCGCGCAGCTGACCTGGCTGAGCTGTGGGAGGGATGCGAGTGCTGAAATGCAGTGTCCACTACCTCCAGGCCGTGTGCGGCATATCTGAAGCGATGATTCTCATGTCTAGATTTCACCAAGATACCTCATTTTTCAAATATTCTAAAATGAAAAAAAAAATCCCGAATTCAAAACGCCTCTGGTCCCAAGCATTTCAGACAGGGAGGCCTCGGGCTGTGGGAATATTTTGGTGTGTCTCCTTTCAGATATTTTTTAGTGTACTAGTTGTGAATTTTGTTTTCATTAAAAGACAACTAACTCTTAGTTAATTTAGTCTTGCTATGTCAAATCTAATCTGTTTGTTTTATGAGGAAGTACGACTTTAAGCAGAATAATACCTGTTAGGTGAAAATGCCCTCATTTTAGTTACATTTATGTGGGGGAAAAAGATTTTCTTAGCCTCCTTTTCAAAACTAAGATTTTGGCGATGGAGTACAGCACTGGGGATGAGGTGTGTTTAAATTAGTGAAAGTGCACGTGCAGTTGGCTTAAGGGTATAGTGTCCAGAGAAACCAGCTTTTGCTCATGTTGTTTCAGCCGTCTAGCCACTGAAATCCAGGAAACCAAAGTGCCTGTTCTGTAGATAAGGAACTGGAAGGCGTGGAAAAGGGGATGACTCACTGCGCCTTGGATGTTGTATCCCTTAGGATTAGGTTGAGCTGTGACAGAAAATGCAAAATGATGGTCACTTACAAAATGCACTTTTATGTTCTTCCCATTCCTAGCCCTGAGGGGAGCAGCTCATGTTGCCTGAGGGCCCCAAGACAGTAGCAGGGGCGCCAGCCATTGCGTTTGTATTTCAACCAGTAGGAAGAAGCATACCGCTTAATCTTTTGTATTTGAACAGTCTTATTGTGCTGTCACTCACATTCATACCATACAATTCAACTGGACACGAACTAATTTAGCAGGTTTTCGTGACATCTGAAAAAGCTCCTGAGAAGTCCCTGCCTGTCCCTTGCCCTCGGCAGGCACAAGTCCACCCTCTGTGTCTGCCGTTTGTGGAGCTGCAGCCTGTGATGTGATGTGCGACCTCCTGGGACTGACTGCTGTGGTTGCATAATGTCTTCACCGCGCAGAGTCCATGTAGCGTGCCCCTCTGTGTGACCAGATGCGTGTTTGGGCTACATGTATGTTTTTGGCTGTTGCAAATACTGTGTTAAATAATGCCACGGCTGAACATCGCAGCTGCTCCTGAGAACGTTTTCATTTCGCCGAGGTTCAGGGGGTAGGAGGTTGCTGACAGAGCCTGGCTAGCTTATGCAACACCTGCACCAGCAGGGTCAGAGGCTTCCCGTTTCCCGCAGGCCCTCTCTTGTCACTGTCACACTTGGTGGGAAGTGCTAGCTGGCTGGCGTTGCTTTGGTTGTGCTAGCGTGAGTTTTACAGAAGGACCTGTTCAGACCGTTAGCCTGTTCCCCTCTAAGGTGTGTGGAGGGGACTGCGCCCGCTAGAGTCATTTGCAGCACAGGTGTAATTTTGATGAGTCTGGCTTGTGTTTGTGTAAGAAACCCTCTTGTGATGACTTGCTCCTATTTTGAGTTTTACTGTTTTGGGCCTTTATGTTCACATGTGAGGTGCAGTTTCAGTTCATTACTGTGTATACTAAGGCACTTTTCCCCTTTAAGGATTTTTCTGGGGTGTTGCATTTCACTCTGGCCTCAGCTTAGATTTCTGGTCTGAACAAGTGGAGCCCACCTTTGCCCATGGGGATTTAGCTGGAGGGTGGTGCAACCCATTCCTCAGTGACCCGCCCAGCCCCCCGAAAATTGTCCCATTCTCCCCTAACACTCCTCAGCAAATTTTGGCTTCCAACTGTTTCTCCATGAAGAAAGAAACCTGTTGCCCACAGTTTCCGGGGTGTCAGCTGGGTGTAGGGGGCAGCTCGGAGCAGAGATCCTGCTGACCCTTTGGGCCCCTGCATGCCACGCCCACACAGCCCCGGACCCGCCCCTTGGCGCGTTAGCCTGGGGCCGCCGGCACTCAGAGCTGCTGTGTGATGGCCGTGCCCCCTCACCCTGCCCCGGCCGCGACCTCAGAGGCGCTGCAGCAGCCACCATCAGCGCCTCAGCCAGAGGCCCACGCCTTGGAGCCAAGCACGGTGAGCACCAAGCTGAGGCGAGCGGGCTGGGCGGGAAATGGGGTCCCCCCTGGCCACTCCTCCTGCAGCCCTGCCGGGCTTTCCAACTTACCTGAGAGCCAGGGGCTGAGGAACCTGGGAGTCCAAAGAGCAGAATGGGAAGCAGGTGAGGTGAGTGCCACTTGGCTCCCTGTGCTCCTGATTCCCAGGCAGCAGGACCAAAGGGAGATCAGACCCAAGGAGGCCACCTCTCGCCTCAGGTCCCAGGCCCTGCTGTGGGCTCAGGCTCCCTCTCCAGCCCTGGTGGGTGGGTATGGGTATTAACTCAATGGGGATGCAGCAGCTGAGCAGGTGAGGGGCCCTGGGGAGTGCCCTCCCTGGCTGTCAGAAGTGCAGGTGGTGACTGGCAATAGAGGTGGAGGAGCCCTGTGTGGGTGGGGTGGGGCACTTGCAGGGGACTTAGGGACCCATCTGTCTGTGTGCCTGAATGCCACATCTCACAGGACACCATGCATGAGCACCAGACCCCTGCACCTCCCACCTGACTCCTGTGCTGCTTTTTGGGCACCCCAGAGCAAAGGACTATTTTCCCCAAGAGAGAGGAGATCCTGTGGGCCCTGCTTACTTCCCAGGGAAATGTAGAGAATGGGGCTGAGGTTCCGGGCCAGAGAAGACCAGCATTACCAGCAAGGCACCAGCATGGCACGCGCCTGCCTGCCTGCCTGCCCGATAAAGTTGCCCTGTCCCACGTGTGAGGCTGCTGACACCCTAGCACACAGCTAACCATGGCCACCGGCTAGCTCCCTAAGGTAGACTCGGCTGCCTGTGATGGGCCTGGGAGCCTCCACCTGTCACAGCAACATGGTGTGAGGCTGTGTCTGAGCTGGCATTTCCTTTGGTCCCTCTACACCCTGGGGGGACGCAGGGGCCCCTTGCAGGGCAGGTGGGGAATTCTGCACTGGACTTAAAAGTAACGTTCACACAGATGTCGAAAAAGAAGACATCCTGCCCAAGTGTGGTTTTCTCCCTGGAGCAGAAGGGGTGTGTGGAGGGTGAGATAAAGGAGATAAAGCCTTATCTGGGAAGGCTGAGCAGCTGCAGTGCCCTGCACGATAGGAAGTGGGTGAAGCCACAGCTTGGTCCCTACTCACTCCTCAAAGGATTCTGAGTCTTTAAAAGATGCAGCACTTTACACTGGGGCTTCATGGTCATTGGCTGCACCAGTGAACAGACGGCGCACCTGCTAGGAACCAAACATGGTGCAGGGGACTGAACACCCCGGTGAATAGAATCATGATTCCCTCTCTGGCCCGTGTGCTGTAGGGAGAGGGGCCATGTGAGACCACACCAGGCAAGGAGGGCCTCCTCAGGAAGGAGGCCACCTGGGTTGCAGGACAGGTGGGGGAGCAGAGGTGAATGGGACAGGGTCACCGTGACAGTGACCAGCAACTGCAGGGCTCTGAGCAGAGACATGGCCCGACTCCTGTGAGCAGTAAGCCTGCTGACTCCTGGCTGGGGAGCGGATTGCAGCAGACAGGAGCAGAAGCTGGAGAAGAGGAATCGAGGATGACGCCTAGGCTCGTGGCCTGAGCCCCTGAATAGCCACTTGATGCAGTGGCCACAGCACAGGGAGCTGGTTTAGATGTGAGGGGAATATTAGGGGACTTGTTTGGACCCCACTGGGCTGAGTTGCCTGTCCTACTTCTTTGTGGAGCTGAGCAGTCTGCAGTTTGCTGGCTGGTTAGCCCTGTAATGACCCTGTGGGGCTCAGATTACTTTGTATCTGTTGGACCCATTAACCACTTTCCCAAGACAATATTTAGTCTCACTGCCCCTTGGGTGGTTTGGGAGCAGAACAGAGGAGGTGGCTGGCAAAGCCTTCAAGACATCCCTGGAAGCCAGGAAGATGCTGTACTGGTAGGGGCTTAGTTCCTCTGTTTCTCACAGGACAGTGGAGCTAGTCGCCTCTCTCTCTGTACGAAGATCTGCTATGGCATTGGTGGAGTTCCCAACCAGGTGGCCTCCAGTGCCACCGCCTTCTACCTGCAGCTCTTCCTGCTCGATGTGGCTCAGGTGAGTGTGGGCAGCAGCCAGGGCCCACTTGGAGAGCGCTTGCATATACAAGAAGGAGCCCCCCAGGCTGGTCTCAGGGAGGTCTGCCACAGCTGCTTTTAGAGGGTCAGCGCATGGCTCAGTAGTGTGTGCTGCTTCGCCTGAGGGTTCTCTGCAGTGCAACTCAGAAAAGCTGGTTTCAGAGTAGTGTATAGAACAGGTGCGTGTCAGCCGGGACGCGCTCCATTTCTATGAGAGAAAAAGGACACACACCTTGGTGTTCATGTGGTCCACAGGAGGGCATTGCTGCAGGACCAAGTGTGAATACAACTGTGCCATTTTTCATGTGTGTTCTCTGTGCCTTTTAGAAACGATTCTCCGAGACAATTGCATTTATATAAAATTACGGATTTCAAATGCACCTGCAAACATGAGAAGGTGTTGGGAGTTCAGATCGGCTTTGCTTACTGTTTCCTTGTCCTGTATTTTTATAACAAGTGCACTGGTTATGTATTTGGAAAGATCAATAAACACTGTGAAGCAAAACGTCTACTTCTGCCTGTCCACCTGGGTCTACTTTGTTCTCAGAGCCACCCCTGAGGAGGGAGGGGGCTCTCGAACCTTCTTTTACAGTGATTCCCCCCCCCCCTGGGTGGTGTGCACCTGCTTCCCCGCTTCTCTGTCCGTTGCAGATTCCTGCTGTGCAGGTGTCGCTCCTCCTGTTTGGAGGGAAGGTGTCTGGGGCAGCTGCCGACCCGTTGGCTGGGTTCTTCATCAACAGGAGCCGGAGGACAGGGTCTGGACGGCTGATGCCCTGGTGAGTAGCCCCACAGTCCTGAGGGCCCAGGCCCCTGGTTCTCGCCCAGAGCTCAGGCAGCTGCTTACTGGGAACTCTGTGGACAGCCAGAGGCCAGGCCTGGACTGTATTGACTCAGGCTGTGGCTGGAAGACGCTCTTGGGGCTTCATCCCTTACCACATGCCACGGGGCTGGCCCTGGTGTGGCCTGCAGGGCCGGCGTAACCTGGGCTGGAGGCCGTGGTAGGTCTCAGAGGAAGGACCACCTGTTTGACTCTGCCAAGTGTCCTTTTAGCAGGGAATGGCAGGGCCAGCAGCAGGTGACGCATTTGCACTCCTGGTGTTGAGTGACCCCCATTCCTCATTCCCTCCTCATCTCTGGCTCCATGGCTCCCAGCCTGAGCCCCAGCCCTGGGCTTACTGAACAGCAGAGATGGGCCTGGGTTGCTCCAGTCTGGGCCCTGTCCTGGTACGGCAGGTGCTCTAGCTTGCTGTGCCCACAGGGTGCTGGGCTGCACACCCTTCATCGCCTTGGCCTACTTCTTCCTCTGGTTCCTACCTCCCTTCACCAGTCTGCGAGGCCTCTGGTACATCACCTTCTACTGCGTCTTCCAGGCCCTGGCCACGGTAAGCAGCCTCTTGAACAGGTGTGTGTATGAGGGGAGGGGAGTGGCACTACTGCCCTCCCCAGCCCTGGGGCGGGTGATCCTCCCATGAGCTCTGGGAGCCCTACTGCCCTGAGCTTTTAGTGGCCAGCAGGAATGTGGCAGTGGACTTCAGCCTGGGGAAGCAGGGCACCCACCTGGCACTGAGGATTATAGGGCTGTTCTGACCTCTGCTGGTGCCCCTAGTTCTTCCAGGTGCCCTACACAGCGCTCACCATGTTCCTGACCCCCAGTCCCAGGGAACGGGACTCAGTTACTGCTTACCGTGAGTGGGTCTTCAGGGAAAGAACAGGGCTGGGGTGCTGCCCCTGGGGCCCCGTGCCCAGCTGGCTTGGGTACCTTGCTCAGTGCCGTGTCTCCAGGGATGACCATGGAGATGGTGGGGACGCTGATGGGAGCCACTGTCCATGGGCTCATCGTGTCTGGCGCCCATGGGCCCCACACATGTGAGGACGTTGCACTCCCCAGTCAAGCCGCCATCTCCCCCAAAGCTGTGAGTGCTGCCTGCTCCCAGAGCTGCTTCCTCCCCAACCCCCAGCACCTGCTCTTCAGGGTCTTCCTTGAGCTTCTAGCTAAAAACTTGACTCCCACCCCCAAATCCTGGCCCATTCTCCACCAAACCTGCCTCCTGGAAGCCAGACAGAAAGCAACAGACAGGCCAGTCGTGTGGGGGGAGGACTGGGTGGGCTTAGGGGAGGACAGCCGAAGGCTTTGGTGTTCTTTGTCTCCATACCCCCAAGGTGAAAAGGAGAAAGGAGGAGGAGAAACCAAAGAGCGGCCCCCACCCTCCCTCTCCCCTCAGAGCAGGTGCATCACCTTGGTGACCTTCCTGTTCCTTAAGCCAAGGACAGGACGTCATCACCCTCCAGCACCCTGGGAGTCTGCCATCCCTTGCTCACCCCCAACCCCCTCAGATCACCTGAACTTTCCACACCTCCTGGGAATCTGTTGGGGGGGGGGGTAGTAGCCTCATGCCAGACCTCCTGACTCAAATTCTGGGGAGGAGGTCCAGCTAGCCAGATCAGAACAAGATGCTGGGGGGTATCAGGTGAGGGAAGGGGGGAGGTGTGCCAAGGGTCCCTGTGAAAGCCACCCTGGGCATGCCCCCTGCACCTTCCCTCGCCTCCCCAGAGTGGAATCTGCCTTGCATCACTGTCAGCCCCACACATCCTGCACCTGTGGCTTCCCTCCCTCCTGGAAGGCAGGGACCACTGTGGCTCTCTGCCTGTTGAAGGACTACATGACCCTGTGCTGACTCCACTTGCTCGTCATCTGTCCCCCCTCCCCAATCTCTCCTTGTGGCTGCATGCGACCCATGTGACCATCATCAAATTGGGGTGCAGCAGGCAGCTGCAGCATCAGGGTAAGGGTGGCAGGAACCCTCTTTTCCAGGAGGAGGAAATAAGAATCTGTTTGAGCCCCTGGGTCTGCCTCCCCTGCTGGAGCAGCTGGGAGGAGTGGCAGCCCCAGCCGGCTTGAGCGGAGCCCCCTCTGCTCCCTGGGGGATAGCCCTGCCTCTGTGTGCAGATGGGCAAAGCAGAGAGGCATGGGGGGGAGAGGTATGGCAGCGCCAGCTGCGGCAGCACTGGGCACCACATGTTGGAGACATTGCAGGACTCCGGCCCCACCCTGTCCCACAGATGCGTCTCTACTGCCTCGCAGCTGCCGTGGTAGCAGTAACTTACCCTGTGTGCAGCAGTCTGCTGTGGCTGGGGGTGAAGGAGCGTCCAGGTACAGGGCTGTCATGAGGCTCGGGCCAGGGCTGCTTTTAGGGGTGGGGTGTTGTTTTGGAATTCAAGCCCAGGTGGCACCTCCCTGTGTTGCAGACTCCTCTGCTTCAGCCTCAGGCCCAGCCCTGGGCTTCCTGGCAGGGCTGAGTCAGACTGCCCGGTACCCGCCCTACCTGAAGCTCGTGCTCTCCTTCCTGTTCATCTCAGCTGCTGTGCAGGTACCTGCAGCCACATGGGCTGCACAGGCTCGCAATTCAGTGTCCGTTTACTGCAGGCTTGAATTTCCAGGGGCTGTGCTGGGGGGAGAGCTTCAGGGTGGGCAGGGGCTGGGGGTCCAGGGGCTGGGGGTCCAGGGCCTGGGCCCCAGAAGCCAACATGCCTGAGGTGTTTTACTCATTGTTCCTAAGTAGACCTCAGCTGTGCGAGTGGTAAAGAGGGGACCACACATGGGGTTGGTGACAGTGCTGGGACTAAGTGTCCTCTGCAGGGGCAGTGACCGCATGATGGCAACCTTGAGTTCCAGGTCCCCAAAGAGGGCTGGGGTGAAGCATGCTCCATTGTGCTCTTACTGTGGGCTTCTGCCATGCCCTTCGTGCACCCACCTTCTGTCTGCTCCCCCATCCCATGCCTTAGGTGGAACAGAGCTACCTGGTGCTGTTCTGCATGCACGCCTCCCGGTTACAGCAGCACGTGCAGAGCCTCGTGCTGACCATCCTGGTGAGGGGACCCACTTTGACCTGACATAGATGTGGGCAGAGGTCCGGGGGGACAACATTCAGGACACAGCCTTGGCCACCTGTGTCCCAGTAGAGGGTGGATCATAATATGAATGGCCGCAGATTTACCCAAGGGGCAAAGGCAAGGCAAGGCTCGGGCCAGGCTCTGAGGCACAGAGTGAGGGTCGTGGGGTGCTGCTGTGTGTTTTCAGGTCTCTGCCGTGCTGAGCACCCCACTGTGGGAGTGGGTCCTCCAGCGCCTGGGCAAGAGGACCTCGGCTTTTGGGATCTGCGTGAGTGTGGCGGCCATCAGGGGCTGGGGGAGATGATCTACATGTGCCTCTTGGGGCTGACAGGGCGCAGGTGGAGGGGTCAGCTGGTATATATCTGTCTCCCCAGACAATGGTGCCTTTTGTGATCCTGCTGGCCATGGTGCCCACAGCCCCTGTGGCATATGTCGTGGCCTTTGTGTCTGGCGTGAGCATTGCTGTGTCCCTGCTGCTTCCATGGTAGGCTGGGGTGAGGGCTGCCTTCGCAGAGGGCTGCCTTGGCAGATGCCTGCCCCTGTCTGGCAGTCTCTGGGTCCACCCCATGTCAGGTGTGGGGGTGGGGGACCTGCAGCACTACCCTGACCCCTCCTGAAAGGAACAAGCACGCAGACCGCCGAGCTCACTGTGTGTGGCCAGTGCAGTGCTCAGAGGGGTGGGTCACCTCAGGCTGCCAAGGGGACTAAGCAGGACCTGCTGCCCCCGTCCAGGTCCATGCTGCCCGACGTGGTAGACGCCTTCCAGCAGCAGCATGAACACAGCCAGGGCCTGGAGACCATCTTCTATTCATCCTATGTCTTCTTCACCAAGCTCGCAGGCGCGTGCGCCCTGGGCATCTCCACTCTCAGTCTGGAGTGAGTCCCCGGGGTGGGGCCAGAGGCACAGAAGATCCTAGTACACTCGGGACTCCTCTGGGCACCAGGCTGAGACCCGCCCTCCCTCTCCCTGCTCAACCCATCCCCTGACCACTCCCCACCCCTTGGCTGCAAGACCTGACCTGGCCATGGGGGTTGGGGTGGAATGTGCTGTTTCTCCAGGTTTTCTGGCTACCAGGCGGGAGCCTGCCAGCAGGCCGAGGAGGTGGTGGTGACCCTCAAGGTCCTCATCGGAGCCGTGCCCACCTGCATGCTCCTCACTGGCCTGGGCATCCTCATGGTCGGCCCCACCCCCAAGGCACCAAGTCAGGATACCTCCCGCCAGCTGAGCCTTCAGAGGTGGGCACCCTGCACATGTGGGAACAGGCAGGGCTGCCCCCAGAAGACTTGCCCCAGCTCCCTGCAGGTTTCCTCTCAGCACCTCCTTAATTTCCCAGTAGAGGTTACTGTCTCCCTTACTGGTCTCCTGGGCACCTCAACACCTGCTGACATCCACCCCCTGCAGGTTCTGCACCTTCACAGCCCACAAGCTGGCAGGCTGTTCCCAGGGAGCCCTCACCACCCTGCTCTCCTTCCCCCGTCCACTCAGCCCTGCATCCATTCCCTGTTCGCCTCTCCCAGGAGTCTATGGGGACCTGGAGGACTTGAGCCAGGCCTCCTTCATTTTTGCATCCCAAGGCCCAACCCCAGATGTACTGGGAGGCCTACAAACATGCGTCCCCACTCAGGACAAGCCAAGCGCTGCTCTGGCATGCTCCCTATGCACGCCCCGACCCTCCTGCGGGGTCCTGCTGGAATCACACACCATGTGCCCTAAGAAGCAGGCAGGAGGGCTATTCAGTGGCCCTTGTGAGGAGCTTCTTACCCTCAGCCCTGACCTTGCCCTCCTTCCCTTCCTGCAGGCGGACCAGCTACAGCCTTACCTGAAGCCCCAGTGCCAAGGAGCTGCAGTGGAGCCAGCGCCTTCTCACTCACCTCTCAATTCACCAGGGCCTCTTCCCTGGGTGCCGCCTCCAGTGAGGCCTCCTGGTGTACCCCTGGCTCCTAGTCACCCCAGCTCTGCTCCCACAGCCAGCAGCAGCTGCTTCTGGGCACAGGCAGCCCTGCAGGAAGCCCCTTCCCACCCCCTGCCCCCGCAGTAGGACACAACAGCCATCTAGTGGGGATAGATGGACATGCTGGGAGGCGGTGGGGGGGGACAGATACAAGGCCCAGCCTGCATGAGACCTGCCCGCCCCAGAGCACTGGGGGACAGCGGCATCAGTGAGAGGCCTTTCCTGAGCTCCTCCTCTGCCCACCAGCACAAAGCTCCGTGGTTGGACACATGAGCAGTTTGTGTCAGAGAAATTCTCTAGAATTTTCTCAGAGCACAGGAACTGCAGTTGTCTAGGGGCCGTCTCTTTGGGGTCAAGAGATCCACTGAAGTTGACTTTTTAAAAAACAAATGAAAGTCTTATCTTCTGTTTGGTCTGTCAACTGTGACTCTGGCCTACCGCCTGACCCTCTGGAACAAAGCTGAGATCCCAGTGAGCCCAACTCATGGGGGTCTGGGGGCCTCAGGATCTCCCTGCCTGGAGAAGTGCAGGCACTGAATGTGGGCCTGGAGAGATAAGGCCCCCCACCCTTATCTCTAACCCCATCCCCTCCCTGGGGCTCGGGCCCCTTCCTTTGACCTGCCTCAGGAGTGTGACTCAGGGGTGAGTCCAGCTCTCAAATGCCTGCCCTGACAGGAAGTGCATCATTGGTTTCCTCTGCAGCTACTGGGTGAGTGATGGGGCTTCCAGATTGGTCTGATGCGTCCGCCCTCACCCCTGTGACCCCAACATCAGCAACAGTCCTTGGGGTCAGAGGACAATGGAAAAACCCGCAGGCTTGGCTTCTCTGGACCATGCACCTGAGCCAGGGAGGAGCTGACAGGAGCTCTGCACCCCTCCGGCTGGGCACAGGTGGGCACAGGAACACACACCCTATGCAACCACACAGTGCCGGTAGGACACACCACACACACACACACATGCTGGCAGAACACACAACATACACCTGCTACTGGCCATCAGGAGGGAGCAGTTCCCTAGCCTGGGCTGCTGCTGGCCATGTAGGGAGGGCACCTGGCAGGGGACAGGGCTAGGCATGCACAGGAAACTTGGGCAAGGCGGCAGGAACAGAAGCTAGCATGTAATTTTAGATTCTGTCTGCTGGGGTCAAGGTGTGGAAAGCAGAACACATGCTCCAGGGCTAGCCACAGCAAGCCCACCTCCTGGGCCCTCATGGTCCAGCCTGGGCCTTGCAGGGTGTAACCCCCACCACCTCCTCTCAGCAGCCCTATAAAGGGGGTGCCATTCTCAGAGGAAGGAACCATAGCAATTTGCCGGTCCAAGGCCGACTTTCATTATTACACACAGGCAGGCAGCCTGCCCAGCTCACTGTTCCAGGCATTTAAACCAGTGGGCCACTTTGGCTCAGCTGTCTAGTCAGGGTGGTGGGTGGCAGAACAGGTGCTGAGGGATGACCTGGTGATTCAGGAAGCAAAGAACGGGGCGTGCCTGCCCATGTCTGCAGTTTCTATGAAGCAACCTAAGCCAACCTAGTCTGCTCTTAAGTGTTCCACTCTCAGGCACCAGAATTGGATCCATCGCCACGGTGAATCCATGAACACAGGACTTGGGGGAGTGACTAACAAATGGGTCTTTGGGGCCACCCAAACTAAGAGCCAAGCCAAAGCACTGCCTGAAATCAGCTGGGGGCAGAGGCAGGCCGTGAGCCCGGCTGACTCCAGGGCTTGTGGAGCGAGCCGGTGCTAAGAGCGTGCTAGAATGGCTCTTGGGGACCCTGGCCATCAGCAGGACCGTGCCTTCTCTGAAACCAAACATCACCTTCCCTCTGGCCCCAAGGTCATTCCCATCATCCTACCTCTTTGACCTTGGGTTCACAGTCCATCAGAGCCCACCTCCTGCTTCAGAGGAAGAAGGTGGTCCCAGGCTTACTCTGGGGAAGAACAATAGCACTCTGGGCCCTAACCTGAATCCCCATTTAAATCCAGACCATGCCATCACATGCTCCAGGCCTGAGCTGGGACAGGCAGTGGCATCGCTGCTTGGGACGCCCATAGCCACGGCAGACCACCTGACTCAAGTTCTACTCTGCTTCCAATCCCACTTGCTGCTCAAGCACCCCCTGGGAGGCAGTGCCAATGCCTGGAGCACTGTTGCCTACAAATAAGGGAGGCCTGGATAGAGCTGTGTGCTCCTGCCCACAGCCTTCCTCAGCCCCGGCTACTACCGAGTTTGTGCAGTGAAACAACAGATGGAGATCTCTCTTGCTCTCTAGAGTAAAAATGAAAACGAGTTTTTAAATCTGTAAAGACCCTTTCAGATCCTCTTTTGGCTTCCTTCCATTTAGCCCCACAGCAGCCTCCAGCCTCACAGGATCAAGTGCGACCTGTCACATCCTCAGAGGTGCTAACTTTGGCCTCGGCCTCTGCATCTGGTGAGGTGAACATGGGGGACAGGAAGACGGGCTTGGCTGCTGCATCTGTCTGTCGCCACATGGGACTGGCTGCCTATTTAACCAATCCAGACCTCCAACACTGCTCATCCTTTCCAGAACTCAGTCTTTCCTTGTCCTGCATGACACCCTTCCCCCTGGGTCTCCTCCACCTCTGGCAGGTAGTTTAACTATCTTTCCTTTATGTGCAAGCCCCTCCAGCACCCCAGGGTGGAATGCTCCCCTACAGCAAACGCTGCACATTCTATCCTAACTCTGGACTTTGGGTACCCTATCATAGTGGTCCTCCAAGCAACTCGGGCACCTGCAGTTCTAACTGGGACTTACCCCCTCGTCTCCACGTCCATTCTGCTTCCTGCACATTCAGTAAATTGTGTTAGCATCTATTTATCTAGGTCCCCAAATCTAAATCATAAATCTTAGATTCCCATTCTCCCCCATTCACCTATTCAGTGTGGGCCAAGCAATGGAAAGAAAGGGTTATGGCTGTGGCCTGTTATCAAATGGTGGAAGTGATTCAAAACCAGACAGGAAGTTCTAACAGCAATTATGGATTGATATGGCTCACATCACACAATGAATTGACACAGCTGCAGGCGGTGTGTGTGTGTGTGTGTGTGCGTGTGCGTGCCCATGGGATTCAATTCAGCTGGACAGTTTTCTGTATTCTCCCAGAAACACAGAAAACTTTTACGAAGCACTAAGATGTCATCTAGGGCTGGCATGGTGGTACATCAGGCTAATCCTGAGCCCTGTGACGCCGGCATCCTTTATGAACCTGAGTCACGACCTTGCTGCTCCACTTCCCATCCAGCTCCCTGCTTGTTGCCTGGGAAAGCAGTAGAGAATGGCCCAAAGCCTTGGGACCCTGTGCCTGCATGAGAGATCCAGAGGAAGCTCCTGGTTCCTGGTTTCAAATCAGTTCAGCTCCGGCCGTTGCGGCCATTTGGGGAGTGAACCACGGGATGGAGGATCTTTCTCTGTAAATCTGCCTTTCCAATAAAAATAAATCTTAGGGAAAAAAAGAAATCTAACACCTCCTTATAATAATGACTTAGCAAACCAGGAAAAGAAAGGGTCTCTCTAGGTGAAACAGTCCTTTAAAAGCCAGAAATAGACCAGTGCAACGCCTCCTAAAATATGCATGACATTCTTCACAGAATTAGAGAAATCTTTCCTAAAGCCTACATGGAACTACAAAAAACCTCAAGCAGCCAAACAAACTTGAGCAAAAAGAAACCCGGATGTATCACACCACCTGACTCCAAAACACTGCAGAGCTCTAACAGTACCACTTACTAAACACGTGGCAGCAGATTGTCAGCATCTATAATGTTAACCCATGTAGCTGTTGGTTCACATCCTGGCTGTTCTACTTTTAACCCAGCTAGCCTAATTCATTCTTTCTCACTGTAAACCTGCCTTTCAAATAAATAAATACATCTTCAAAGCAAGCCTTAAAGAGAGAAACAAAGCCTACCAGAAATTTGAGCAAAAGAAATGAGCAGGTATTTGGAAAAGAGAATATAAAAATGGTTGGGGCCTGGTGCAATGGCTCAACTGGCTAATACTCCACCTCCAAATGCAGCAGCCCATATGGGTGCCAGTTCAAGCCCCAGTTGCTCCATTTCCTATCAGCTTCCTGCTGGTGGCCTGGGACCCAGTCTTGGGACCCTACACCCACGTGGGAGACCCGAAAGAGGCTCCTGGCTTTGGATCAGCTCAGCTCTGGCCATTTTGGCCATTTGGGGAATCAACCAGCAGTTGGAAGACCTTTTTCTCTATCTTGCCTTCTCTCTGTAAATCTGCTTTTCTGATAAAAATAAATCTTTTTGAAAAATGAAATACAAATAGTTAATAAACATGTGAAACAACACTGGAGTTCTTTGCTGGTCAGTAAGGAAACGGCTGCTCATAAGACACCATTTAAGCTGCTCAGCTCCCCAACAGCCAGAAAGCATCAGGTCTACAGGGCAGGTGGAGAGACCCCACTGCTGTGGGGGCCAAAGGTGACACCACCAACTGGACAGACAATGGCATCAACTCCCCAGTTGCACTGAGCACACCTCATGACCCAGCATTTCCATTTCTCTAAGATTTATTTACTTTGCTTGGAAGTTGGGATTAAAGACAGACAAAAGGCCAGCGACCAATATGGCTGGAGGTGTCAATCCAAAGCCAGGAGCCAGGAGCTTCTTCCAGGTCTCCCATTGAGAGCATAGGCCTGAGGCCTTGAGCCATCGTCTGCTGCCTTCCCAGGCTATCAGCAGAGAGTCGGATCAGAAGTAGAACAGTTGGGATGGCACGGTGGTGTAACATGCTGATCCTCCACCTGTAGCATCAGCATCCAATATGGATGTCAGTTTGAATCCTGGTTGCTCCACTCCAATCCAGCTCTCTGCTTATGACATGAAAGAGCACCAGAGGATGGCCCAAAATTTGGGATCCTGTGCCAATGTGGGAGATCTGGGAGAAGTTCCTGGCTCTTGGTCTTGCACTAGTATGTCTCTGGACATTGTGACCATTTGGGGAGGGAACCAGCAGATGGAAGATCTCTCTGTGTCTTTCCTTATCTCTCTGGAAGTTTGC